TTTTAAACCATGTGAATTTTGTGGGGGAGGTCCTATGTTTTCTGGGAGCTCCCTCAATGCTGTGACCTCACCCAGGACCCTTTCTGCATTTGCCTGTAAGTTCCCCTCTTAGGCAAGTGCTCGGTGCTCAGCAGGGACCCTGAGCTTTCAGGAGCTGTCCCCCAGCCTCCTTACGGTACAAGCTTGCTGGCAGCTCCTCCAGCCACCTGTTCATAATGACTCTGTGTCTTGTTACAAATCGTCCTGTACCGACCGCCATATCCAGCCCGACTGTACAGAAGCACTCCTGGCACTCAGGACGCGCTTCTGGGACAGAAAGCGGAACGGGTCACTGCAGGGCGGTCTGAGTGGACCTCCTCTCTTGCTGCAAAGTCCGACAGCACTCAGGGAGGTGGCGGCCTTCTGGAAGCTGTGGGGCCCCTTCTAGGCAAGCTGCCAGTGCTGGGACGGGACGCTGGTACTGGACCAGGTAGATGCTGGTCCAGTAACAACCTAAGCCAGAAGGATCAGAGGCCAATCGTGTTCTGTTAAAAGCTGACCTTACAGCGAAGAACAGAGATGTTTTTTATCTTCACTCATGTTTAAGGATTAACTAACTAACTACAAAGTACTGTGACTGATTTTTACAAAAGTACATGAATATTTGCACATCTGAAGGAGTGTTCCCCTTTAAAGTACATTCGACTTGTACTCACATTTCTCTAAACATTTTAAGAGCGTCCCCTGTACACTGAGTTGAGACCAGTTGAATAAAAGTGAGCGCGTGCGCACACACACACACACACACACACGGATAACTTCTCCCTGGGCAGGATGGGCGGTAACAGCTCTCCAGTGGCCGTTCTTCTGAAACACCCTTGAAGACCAGAGCCCGGCTGGAGCAACCGAGCTCACCTCTCCTCCGGTTCTAAAGGCTCCCAACAGTGGGGCTATGCGACACCTCCCCACTCATCCCCACAACTCCTACCTGGCACGAGACCTCGAGAACTGGGAGTGCTTGACAGTCCGTTTGTTGAAAATGAATTGAGGTTATAAAGATCCTGCATGAAGAACCCCCCCTCCCCACACACACACAGAATGGCAACGGCAAACATTACTTTCTCATAAATCCACCTGCCAGACAGGATGGAGCACAAAGAGAGAAGGAACAGCCCAGTGGAGTTCAGCAACAAAGACGCGGCACCAGGCCAGAGCAACCGACAGCTCAAGATCGATATTCCTCCTCCCCGCCACCAGCCCCGATTGGGGAAACTCGCAAAACCTTTAAAATCACCCCAGAAAACTACACATTTTTCAAAATAGCATCAGAGAGTTTGGGAGCTTAAACCAATCCATGGATCCATAGGGGACCCATGGTCACCAGCTTGCAGCCTCTGCAAGAGAGGAAAGTGTCACATCATAACTCCGGGTGTCGAACACCACAGAGCAAACCCAGGATCCACATGGCGCCTTTGCAGGGACAGGGAGCTCCCTGCTGTCTAACACCGCAGAGCAAAAGCACAATCCACACAGTTTGCCGGGACGGCGAGCTCTGTGCTGAGTCTAACACCGCAGAGAACGCACAATCCACACAGCACTTTTGCAGGGATGGGGAGCTCCCTGCTGAGTCTAACACTGCACAGCGAAAGCACAATCCACACAGTGCTTTTGCGGGGACGGCAAGCTCTCTGCTGAGTCGAACACTGCACAGCAAAGCACAATCCACACGGCACTTTTGCAGGGATGGAGAGCTCTCTGCTGAGTCAAACACCGCACAGCAAACACTCAACCCACACGATCCACACGGCACTTTTGCAGGGATGGCGAGCTCCCTACAAAGTCTAACACTCACAGCAAACGCACAATCCACACAGCGCTTTTGCGGGGACGGGCAAGCTCTCTGCTGAGTCTAACACCACACAGCAAACGCACAATCCACACGGGGCTTTTGCGGGGACGGGCGAGCTCTCTGCTGAGTCTAACACCACACAGCAAACGCACAATCCACATGGCGCTTTTGTGGGGACGGGCGAGCTCTCTGCTGCAGCTGCTCACTGGTCTCGGGTGGTTGCCACGCAGCCCTCTCTGCAAGCAGAGGTTGTTGGGCAGTGCTGCCTACACTCTGTCAATATCAAGTAACACACCAACGTTTCCAACACTGAATTTTAGAACAGTCATTCAAGCAGCAGAAATCCTATGATTATCAACTGAGAACGAGAATTTCTGACTTAGCTTCTCGATATAATTTAGAAGTGACAAACGCAAGAGAACTGGAAGAAACAGAAACACTGAGAGTGAATTTGAAGTCATTCTATGAAAACTCTGAGGGAGGCATTAGAGGCAGCCCCATGGAGATGTGGCTCATGGATGTGCCTGGGTTTTGTCAGCATAAACGGTAAGGAGTGAGCTGAGATGAGCAGAGTGAAGGGACGTCATTCGCCGGCTGCAGCATGGCACTCGTGAGATCAACATAATGGATTTGAAGCCACGTAGACCCCTCATGATTGACGCTAACAAGAGACTGTCGGTCCACCCTGGATGAATCCAGACGTGTTGGGATAGAACCCCTGCCAGTCCGCAGCATGAAGCACAGCACCCACTTACACCTTCTCTGTAAATGCAAGACAGCACCATGCTCTTACCTGACGTCGGAAAAAAGCCCCAGAGAATTCTGACTTGAGTTCTATCTTCAGACACACAGAGAATTAGCAAATTTTAAATAATTTGTTTTAAAAAGTTTTTTTTAATCTAGAAGAACAAAACACTATTGATGGCAAAACAAGTTTATCACTTAAACTCTCTGTTTAAGGCAGTGGGCAAAAAGATGTCCAATGAAAAACTGGTTTCACTGAGGCTGACTAGCTGCTTTTTCCATAGAGACGTGCTTTAAAAAAAAAAAGAATCAATGCAAGTCTGCAAAACACAATCATATATGTTTTCAAGTGTGTTCCAAAGTCCCCTGAACTGGAGATACAATACCAAAGATCTCCTTGGATTCAGAATAAAGAAAAAGATTTTCTCTCCAATGTAACATATTTCTTTTTAATAGACAATGACAACTTGTCCATACTCAGTGTTTCTCCTCTTGCTGTGGCTGATGAGGAGCTCACAGTTAAATATAGAGTGCAAATGCAGTGATCAACTCACTCCAGGTTCTTTCCTCCATACAGTATTTTTTAAATGGGTTGAATCACCCTGCTTTATGCTTTTTTCATATTGCTAACTGATTCTAATCTTATTCTAAGTTAACTCAGCATAAATCATAAATAAAAAGATGAATAAGAAAATATAACATTGCATGGAATACATACTATTTTATGGATCAAAGTCACCTTTAGCTATTTGAATACAATAAGGCCATCTTAATTATGAATAAATTCTAAGATCGCTAGCATTATAAACTACCCAAAGGTGTTTTTGTTCACGAAACCACAACATAAACTTGATTGCTAATCAATGTTTCCAAATAATTTAAAAGGATTTTTGAAAACCTTTAACAAGGCATCCAATTTGCTCTTGAATAAAATGTTAATGGATCACGTCAATTTGGAAATCGTTTCTCTGTCCCCACGTCCCCTCTCCCCCCGGTCCTCCCTCTTGCTCTCCACACCACTCCCGGAACAGCTCGTTTGGGAAATCTGGATTTTGGTACTTCGGTTATTTGTGGAGAGGGTCTGATACAGACGCATACTACTTTAAGTAGAAGGAGGATTTAAGAGTCAGAAATTTAAGAGATTACAAATTGTAATAATATGCTTGACGAATTAGCCTACTAGGCAGATTACCAAACGGAATGACTATTAACATCAGGGGAATGAGAAAAATAAAAGCGATCCCAAAGCAAATGAGACCTAATACTCCTTACATCATGTTCTGCAAATCCACGTGAACATGCGAATTCAACCAGAAAAGGTTAAAAGTTCTCAAGTGGTTTTCTTGCTTCTGTACATGTCAGAAACAAAATAATCTGAAAAATTGATGCATATTTAACCTATAAAAGGTGAAATGAAAGTTCCCATGCATTATATTTTTTTTAATTGTTCTACAATTCAGGGGTAGAGGCCAAAAAGTGAATAAAACTTAGCCAGTCGTTCTTCCGATTTTTTAAAAAATGAAGAGAAGGTAATGATTTTTACACTAAGATTAAAATCTGCAGTCTGAACAATGTTGGGTAATAATAATCATAAATCGTGTGCAATGCTAAGACATTTCCAAAGCATTCTGACACCTCCCATTTCACCTTGGGAAGTTCGTGGACAAGCACTACCTCCACGGGGAAACTGAGTAAAGACACCCCAACGCTGCCCGGCAGTGCGAGCAGGTGGACACAGAGCCAAACTGGAACCACCACCGCCTCAAGCTCGACGACTTCTGCGCCAGCTCCACACACTCAGAGACAAACACTGAAGTCCTCATCTGGTTAACTGGAAACGCAAAACTGAGCTCACTGGACCGGGAAGACGGAATCCTCTTCTGAGTGGCCCGAACCCGAAGGAGCCCCAGCGGCACACGGGACAAGTCAGAGATGAGCAGCCGACTTGACCATGTTAGTGAGGCAGTGTACAGATTCTAGAGACTGGATCACCTCTGCAGACTTCCCTGTTAGACCCTGAGCCTGCCATGTCAGAGCGGACGCTGGCTGCACGGCTGACGTCAGAGCGTACGCTGGCCCCACCGCTGACGTTAGAGCGGACGCTGGCCCCACCGCTGACGTCAGAGCGTACGCTGAACCCACAGCAAACATGAACGTGAGAGGGAGCGTCAGATTTACCGTGTTAAACCCTGAGCCTGCCATGTCAGAGCGGACGCTGGCCGCACGGCTGACGTCAGAGCGGACGCTGGCCCCACCGCTGACGTCAGAGCGGACGCTGGCCCCACCGCTGACGTCAGAGCGGACGCTGGCCCCACCGCTGACGTCAGAGCTTACGCTGACCCCACAGCAAACATGAACGTGAGAGCGCGCGTCAGATTTACCGCGTTAGACCCGTGTTTGCACGAATGTGAGAGAAAGCGTCACTTACTTGGCTTAGCGTTCGCAACCACAGCCAGGCTCTCAGGCGGGTGAACGGCAAGGTGCCTGCTGTGCTCGCCCGCGCCTGGGCTGCTGCCATACTCGATGGCGTCCACGTGTCCCAGCGGAACGCTCCACTTCAGCAAGTACCTCTGGCTGCTCATCACACGGCTGTCATGAGAGGCGCTGAAACGACCAGAAGATGCCTGTTTTACGAATAATTACGTGGACACGTTATGGTAACGTTTGTCCCTCAGATATTCAAGTGAGAAACTTTCCATTGCTGAACTGTAACTCTTCAGACTTTGTCACAGGAGTAACTGTGCCTCTGACTTTCTTACAGAATCCCCACTCGCTGCCATAAAGAGGCCTGGAGGTGGATGAGAGAGAGTGCAGGGAAGAGCCGCACAGGGACGGATCTCCCCGAAGCGCCGAGGTTTTCCGTAAAGGCTTAAAAGGAAGCAGCTCGGTGCTCGCTGATGACTCGGAGCAAAGGTGCTCGATTCCCAGGAAGTCTCCTATGTGGATAGAGATATTCTCTGGTGGTTTCCTAAGAGATTCCTGCTTTACTCTTTTATGGCTACACCATAACCATTTTAAGAGAATCAAATACCATTATATTCCATGACTAAAATATGTATCAAGTATACAGAAATTGAACAGAAAAAAAAAAAAACCTACGACTTATACAGATTATTTTCTTCTTTTATCATAAATAGAACACATACGTGAAGAAACACAAAACACGTATGTATGGTCTAGTGGAAATGGCCTGCGTCGATATATGTGTAGCTGCCACCAAGGCCAAGGCTGTGACTTCGCCATCATTCCTGCAGTCCCAGGTGCTCAGGAAATCCCACCCTCCAGAATCAACCATTATTCTCAGTGATCATCACGTTTTGCTTTTCAAGATATTGCCGTTAAAAATCAAAGTATGGTAAGAATAACCAAAATGCTGGGTGCTACGCATTGGACTAAGCACCTGACTTGCTGGGAGCCTGCCTGCACCCAAGCTCTCCAGTTTCCTCTTATACCAGAGCACTCTGCCCTCCATGACGACATCCAGTCCATACAGAAAGGGAAAGGAGGAAAAATAATTCAGACACAGGAAGAGGAAAGACGGGTTGTATTCTGTGAATTAGACTGTGCCTCCAATTTAGAAAAACAGAAATGCCCATGAGTTCTTACCAAAATTTCGATTCCTCCTCTTTGAATGTAAAAATCTCCATCCCTACAGAGGAGGTTTAGAATCTTAATTCTACAGGGCCGACCAAAGGGTCCTTGGGGGCATGAACCAAAATGGGTTCTCATCTCATCACCTTCGGGCAGTGTCACTGAAAATCTCACACTGACAACACGTCCATGGGAAATGATTGTGACTCACCACCACACTTCGCAAAAAAAGAAATTCAAGCCCTGTCATTGTGGGAAAGGCAGGGGCATTATTTTAAGGAATCTAGCAGTAAGCACAGCTGAGTTACTAATAAAGTATTCATTTTAATTCATCTTTAAAGTACACCACTTCTATCAGTGTGAGAATGTTAAACCTACTTAAAACTGCCCAAGAGCCAAGTGTGTCCTGGCGCTCCCCGACAGCAGACCGGGGAGTGGGGTGGGGGTGGTTCTGGAGCAGGGGTCAGCGTCAGACAAACATCGATTATGAATGTGGAAAAGACTCAACAAGGACCATTATATTTGCACAGGACTTTGCTGTTTACAAGGTCATTTCACTTCTATGATCTTGTCTCCCAGGGCAGGTGGGACAAGCATTCATGTCCCCAACTTGACACATCATGTTGGCCAACTTGCAGGTGAGGAGCTGGGTGGATTCAGCGACATTGGGGCCGCTTCACTGAACACTAACTTTCCAGGTGTTACACGGAGAGGGGGGTCCTGGGACAGTTAAACTTGGAAGCCATCCTGCTAGGTGATAAACACCATTAGTCTCCACACTGTGGGAAGCACCTCATAAGATAACACCAGGGAAACAGGGGTGGAGACACCTTATTCTGCATCCTCGCAATTCTAAGCATCCTCTCGAACAGCCCACACCTTGAGTTCTCCAGCTGCGACCTCCCACGGCCTCACTCTGTCAGCTCCTCTCCAACGCAGGGTGCAGCGGGCTTTGCTTCTGCACATGGAAGGCAGGTGGCCTGTGGCTGTCGCCAGGTGTCCACAGTGAAGGCTGAGCCATGGGGTATGAGTCAAATGAACAGGGTTCTTTCTCTTACAAGGAGGAGTATCATTAAAGACTTGTATATATATTTTTTGGACTTATTTTGTAGCTGCCACAAAATAAGTGAGGATGATGAGAAGCAACAATGAAAATCTGTCCCTCGCGGGCAGTGCCACGTGCCAGGTGCCCTGCGGCAGCTTAATGAATGTCCTCGCCTTGACCCCTGAAGAGCCCCACGAGAGCGTACCACCGGACTCATTATTTTATGATCAACCCTATTGCACGGATGAGGAGTCCAAGGCCTAGTCAGAGCGGGTAATTTTCAGAGTTCAGAGAAGGTAGAGCTGGAGTTCACGCTAAGGAGTCTGACTCCTGAGGGCTGACCTGCACACCCTCGCTGCCTGGGTCTCTAAGGCAAGGTGAGGAGGGCAGGCAGATACATCCAGCTGCTGGAAAATGGGGGTGACGGACATGAAAAATAGGGCATGTTTAGTGGTGTACTGGCAAATGTTTAACAGCTGGCTCTCACTGGGAGGACAGGCTCCTAACACGTTGTGTTGGGCAAATTCCGTGGTGTAAATGCTCCCATGTGGATGACTTCAGGCTACCAAATGTTTAGCAATTGGCTGTCAAAACTCTGGACGATTGAACGCTTGACTCTTGCAAGACATGATGAATTGCCACTACATTCGCTGGCATTATTTTCTACAGCACCAGGAGCGTTATAGTTAATTTTATCTGAATTCCCTTATCATCTACCTATATTTGAAGACCTTTTAACTTCTCACATATCCTTATCTAACTACAATATTCCATGTGTTGGAGAACGATTCTGATGTAAAACTATTTTAAGTGAAAATAACTCATTTTCTTGGTTTACAATAAATATGAATATACCCAACTTTATTATATTTAAACATTTATCAAAAATATATTTATAGAGAAGCAGGTAAAGAGAGAATTTAAACCATAAGAAAAAGAACTCCTGAATTATTTAGGAGGATTATGAAGAAATTCAATTTAGTTTCTAGTTCCACCATCAGCCGTGTTTAAAGAGTATATAAACCTCTACGTACTTAACTTCTACTAACAGTGACTTGGTGACTTCTATTTAAAAATAAGCTTGCTTATAATAAGGGTTCCTTTAGTCACAGGACTAAGCTTTGGCACAAAAAACCAGTTCGGTCTGAGTGACAGAATTAACAAAGTCATTTATGTGCCCTTAGGCAAAGGTAACATGTAATGATAGGACTGCTATAGAGAATTCAATGCACTTACCGTGAGCTGACGGTGGCACACATTAACACATCATTTAACATGAAGACTCGGCGTTCTTTGGTTTTAACAATCTCTCCTCTGTCATTGTAAACTGTTTCTATCATATCATCAGATCGAATGAGGTATCGGCTTCCACTGCTGAGAAGCTGGACATTGAAAACACAGCGCAGGGACCACAGTTGAGTTTACCCAGAAAAAAAAAAGATGAGGAAAAGTCTGGTATGGAGTCTGAGGGTGACTTTCCAAACTGAGCGCTTTACGGAAATCGTTCCTATGTTCACCGTGACTGCACCGAACATCCACCTGCTTCCTCACAGACTTTCACCGCACAGTCGGCCCTCCCGCGATTTAAACACGACATTAACCAGGAACGGTGAGGAATGGAAGGAATTGTTTCATAATTTTACTTTTCCCTAAGTCAACCTAATTAAGCATAGTTCAATGACTATCTTAACTTCTCCACGTAGGCCATATTTTACTTCACTGAGCCAAACCAAAACCATCAGTTCTTCAGAAAGATGCTTTGTATGAACCAAGACAATGGCATGCGATGTGGAAGTCAGACTACTTTTTTTGTTTGTTTGTTCTGAGATCAAGCCTTGCTCTGTTACCCAGGCTACAGTGTAGTGGCACAATCTCAGCTCACTGCAACCTCCACCCCCTGGGTTCAACTGATTCTCGTGCCTCAGCCGCTCGAGTAGCTGGGACCATAGATGTGCGCCACCACACCCAGCTAATTGGTTTCTTTTTGTATTTTTAGTAGAGATGGGGTTTCGTTATGTTGGTCAGGCTGGTCTGGAACTCCTGACCTCAAGTGATCCACCCACCTCGGCCTCCAAAAAGGCTGGGATTACAGGCGTGAGCCACCGCACTCGGCCAATACTTATAACAATTCAGCCCACAAGAAAACAGAGTCCTCAGCCCCGGTGGTCTGTGCTGTCTTTTGATTCTAGATCTGCGCTGCTGCCCAGCTCTGAGCAACCAGCGAGACACCCGCCTCCCTGACTGTCCTTGCCGAGTGCACGATGGGAATGATGGGAATGAGGGAATGATGAGGTATGTGCGTGACATTCAGGGTGAAGCATCATCACCTCTTCCTGGGCCTCTGGGCTTGCTCTGTGCCCCACATGTATTCAGAGGTTCAGGTGCCACAGGGAGCATGATTTTAAATAACATCAACCATGTCAAGAATATAACTGAATACAATTTGCTGCTTATAAATGTTCCTACATAAACCATTTGGAGAATTGGGAAAAGCGTGTGGCTTAAAGTGTATTACCATAAAGTTCACACAGTTAAATTACTGAATGTCATTGTGACATAAGAAACTACTCCTAATGACAAAACAAACTGTGATTTTAGCAACAATGAATATTAGATGCAATAACTTAACACAGTTCATACAAATTAGCATCTCCCTGTGAGCCAGGGCCTTCAACGAATACAGGAAAGCCCACATAAAACCAGAGCCTGCTGCAGAGAAGTAGTTATGTAAGCATCAAGCTGAAATGTAGCCTCGCAAATGAAACACCGCCCTCTGGGTCCTGCATCTCTTTTAGGGGGTCAGTACAGCTTAGCCCATGCATAGGTGAAGACAAAAAATGTTTGTGATTTTTTTTTTTGAAGCAGGGTCTTGTTCTGTCACCCAGGCTGGAGTGCAGCAGCTCAATAACAGCTCACCGCAGCCTGGACCTCCCAGGCTCAAGCAATCCTCCGGCCTCAGCCTCCCAAGTAGCTTGGACTACAGGCATGCCACTGTGCCAATTTTTTTTTTTTTTTTTTTTTGGTATGGGGTTTCACTATCATGCCCAGGCTGGTCTCAAACTCCTGGGCTCCAGTGATCTTCCCACCTCAGCCTCCCAAAGTGCTGGGCTTACAGGTGTGAGCCACTGTGCCCAGCCTGTAAATATTTTCAGCTTTACTATCTGAAACTAGATAGTTATTTTGAAAGCAAAATTAAGCTAAAGGAGTTGCTTTAACTAATACTATCTGAAATTAGATAGTTATTTTGAAAGCAAAATTAAGCTAAAGGAGTTGCTCTTAACCTCTTGGGAGGTCCTGGATCCATCTGAGGGTCTGATGAATGTATGAATCTCTTTCCTAAGAAAATGCAGACAGGCTGTTAAGGTTTTACATACAATTTCCACATTGGGGTGACTCTCCCAAAGGCCTCCATCCACCCCAGTTAAGAACTCTGGGCTAAGGGAATTACTCCCAACGTTCCAAGAGATTAGTATTGCTGGATAACGACAGCTTATTAGTACAAAGCAAAAATAATTTTGGAATAGAGTTGAAGAAACCCTCTCTCAACCTTGTTCAGGTATCTTTCGTTTATGGCTTTGGCTATTTGCTTAACTTCACAGCGTTGATCAGCATCTCTCTTTCTTTCATTTAACTTCTCTGCCAGTGTTTCGAGCTCTGTCAGGGCCATCTGAAGAGGCAGCCTGTCGGGGTGGCCTTTGGAGGTGTTCTTCAGCATGTCCTACAAGCAAGAAGGGAGAGGTGGGTGGTTACCATGTGCGCACTCCCAGTGCAACGACAGTCACGTCACTCACCAGCTGACGATGGAAAGGAGGCAGTGGCATCCGTCATCCTGGGGAAAAATAAAGTCAGTTCTTGGGAAGGGATGATGAGCTGAGTGAGTCATGACTTGGCTGAACATCTGAACAGCTTCCTTTGCAAAAACAAAATCGAAAAAATAGCTCTGTGCAATAAAGGACACGCTAAATATGAACATATCACAATCTCAGAACTGCCGTGCGCTTGGAATGATGCTCACGATGATGAGAGATTGTCCTTCTCAAGTTGAGTCAGACAGATGAACCCACGCACAGATGGGTCCAGCTACTTTCTTCAAAAGATCAGTCCCCCAATTTCTAATGTGCAGGAGTTCTGCGATGCCGAATAATGCACCCATGGCGCCAACTCACACAGCAGGATGGAGTCTCTCTCACACTGACAAAGGAACCTGATTTTAGGGCAGCAAAGATGCATGACACAATCATGGTGGGTCCATGTCACTAAACGTTCATCCAAACCCACCGAATGCACAGCACAGGGGTACATCCTCCTGTGACTGTGGCCGCTGGGCAGTGGCTGCTCCTGGTTGTCACAAATGCACTCTGGCGGAGATGTTGTGGGCGGTGGGGCGGGGGGGTGCTGTGCATGTTGGGGGAGGGGTAGTTGGGAAATCTCTGTACTTTCCACTCAATTTTGCTGTGACCCTAAAATGTCTCTTAAAAAGTCATCTTTAAAAAAAGGAGTTGAGCTACCTCTTCTCCCAGTTAAGGTTTCAGATAAGCACAAGGAGGTCAAAGGGAGGGTATGTGGCACAAATCAGCAACAACTGCCAGCAAAAAATGACGCACTGCTGCCAATCACAGGATAAACTTTAACAGGCAATAACAAAAGGACACTTTCGTCACCTTGGTTTTATGCAGGGCCTTTTGTTTCCCAGCTTGCGTTCACATTTGACACGCTGATGTTTGCTGAAGGGGCAAACGTGAACTTGAAACACTCTTTCTCAGAATTAAATGTGGTTCTGCAATGAGATCTCAGGGACACGGGGAGGGGAGCATCACACACCAGGGCCTGTCGGGGGTGCAGGGTGAGGGGAGGGAGAGCATTGAGACAAATACCTAATGCACGCGGGGCTTAAAACCTAGATGACGGGTTGATAGATGCAGCAACCCACCATGGCACATGTATACCTATGGAACAAACCTGCACATTCTGCACACGTATCCCAGAACTTAGCGTGAAAAAAAAAATGTGGTTCTGCATCTTGCCTACCAACTTTTACATGTTTATAGGAATATGAGCAGTCATGGAATCCAACAGTGTGCTTATCTTTTTAAACCTTTTTTTAAAATCTGGAAAGGACGCTGTATAAATGATCAAATGTTTCCAGTTTGTAGTGAATATAAACAATTCTATACATTTGTTTCCTATGAGTCACAACGAATTCTATCAAGGCAAAAAAGAACAATCTTAACACTAGTTCTGCATCAAAACCACACACTGGCGGTGGCACCGGGGACTCGGCGTGCGATGGAGACAGCAGCCGGCACATGGTGGAGTCCAGCATGCCGTGGGGCCGCTGAGCACAGCCAGGAACATCTGCTGGGCCGGCAGCCTCCCGAGGAGGCCCAGGGAAGGAGAAAAGTGAAATTTCTCACTGCTATTGTTACCAGAAATTGTTACTTATCTTTGCACAACAATAGAGAGAAATAGGTAGCTGGGATAAAGTAAGACAAATGTCACACGCGGCTGATGGATGTTTCCGGATCCATGGGAGAAACTGACAGTCCCAGCAAAGCCAGGGTGAGCCGGCTTCACTGCCTGAGCCAGGAGACAGCTGTGGCTTCACAGCACCTGTCTTAGAAAGAAGGTCTGGGAGCGCTAACAAGGAAAAATGCAGGCAGGACCGGAAAGTAGAGACCAGGAGAGTCACTGGGAGGAAGGGGACAGAGGGTGTCCAGGCCCCTCCCCACTGTCTCCCCATCCACCTACACACAGCACACGGACCACAGCAGAAGGCAGGAGGGACGGTATGTGCTTGTACCTGCTGACTCTCTGCAGCCCATCTCCTTGCCCAATCCCCGGTGCCCTGAGCACCCACACCTGAGGCAGGGCCCCTGAGGCACAACCACGTAATGACCAGATGCAGACACCACCTTGTCTCCAACTGTGCTTCTTCCGAAGCACGTGGACCTACCCTGTTCCCCTCCGAGAACACTCTAGGATGCGCCAGCGTTTCAACAAATGTGGGCAAAAAGTGTCCCTGAGGGAAACTGCTGGGCACATCTAGGACTGCAATTTGTTTTTTCAGATCAAGGCAAAGACCATTTTCTGCTTCGGGGGCAACGAACTCTGTGTGGGAAATTCTAAGGAGGGTCTCTCGAGGCAAGGAGGGAGAAGGACGGGCACAGCTGTGTACAAACTGACCTACGTAACTGCTGGTGACGATCTGGAAGAGCACGTTGAGTCTTTCTAAATGAGTCTTTCTAAATGTCTTTCTAAATGAGTCTCTCAATTCTAAATGCTGGTGACGATCTGGAAGAGCACGTTAAGTCTTTTGACTTAAACTCAGAATTCCAGTTATGTAATAAACTCAAGAATTTGGGTGTCAAAAGGCCGATGGAAACGTGGGAGCTGCTCAGGTTCCTCAAGATCCCGGTAGAGGCTTTTCCCTGCGGTTCCCTCTCCCGTTCCCTTTCCAGCAGCCCCGCCCACAACTTCTGTCTAAAAAGAACACACTTTGGAAAAAACCTAGGCAAAAGTAGTTACTTACTTACTTACTTGTAGTTACTTACATTTAACCAAAACCTAACAAGCGCGTTTGAAAATTATATCCAAATTTAATAAATCAAAAAAAATTTAAAAACTATTCTGATACATCATAGAAAGCCAACAATGGGTGTGACCTCACAACACAGTCAGCGCTTGCTATCATCCCGGGTGACCAGGAACCACCCAGGGACTCACTGGTGCATCGCTAAACACAGGGCATGTGGGCCGCTTCACCCGTATGGTTTAGGAGGCGACACAGGGTGTGTGGGCTGGTTCCCCTCGTATGGTTTAGGAGGTGACTGTAGCCTTGCTTCTGGCCCCTTCACAGCCTGGTGACACCCTCCCAGCTGTGGCTGAATAACTAACATCTAACAGGCAGCCTGACCCTGTTCCTCCCAAGCGCCAGCCTCCCTCTCACGAGGAAGCTCATTCATCACGTCCGTGGCTGCTTGCCAGAAGGCCAACAGCGTCTCACACGTATTAGGACTCAGGACATGTTTGTCAGCTGAAGAAATAAAACACACTTTGAATATTTTGATTTTGGGGAAAAAACCAGCTTTTGTTATTAATGCTCTAGTACAGGCAAACTGTACAATGTTAAAAATATAAGCGAGAGGATAAAATTAACATGACCCATCACCCTAAACACGGAAAGAGCCCATGTTGATACTGTAGTATGTATCCTTTTTCACACTTTTATGACTACTTTTATGTAAAAAGAATGTGCCACAGATTTGGTTGATCAAAAATAAATATAAAAACCTCAGTGGAAGGGGACTTGACACTATTTGCCAGGTGCCAGTTCATTTCTGGCAATGATTTCACCAGTTCATCTTAATCAGCTCTAATAAGCAGGCAGGCAAAGCAGAGTCCTCTGATTTAATTAGAAAAAGCAAGCTGAGTAATCATTGAAAAATCGACACAGGCAGAGGCCAGCATGGACTCTCCTTTGAAATACCCTCCCTGGAGGCATGGCATTCATTTAAATAAAATGGGCGCTGAGCCCCGCAGCCTACAGGGTCACCTGGGCTTCAGGGTATGTGGGAAGGTCAGAAAACGAGCAGCAACCACACATCGCATCAGACATCACCGAGAGGCCGTCCGCTGTGAGATGTCATGTCAGCACTCAGAACGGGCCTTCTGTTCACGGTCACAGGTATCCAATTGAGAATCCTTAGTTTAGAAAAATGAGGGTCCAGTGGAAAGTGTCTTCACCATTGCGGCATCTCCCTGTCCTCGGTGATTTGCTGTTAAATCAGTGATGGGTATGTTTTGTTTAAATCTATTCTTAGCTTTCCAAGCCTGTCCATCCCCTCTGGGCACAGAGGCAAGAATCATTTTTCATGTGATTCTAGACCAGACGCAGGCACACTGGAGAAAGGAGCTGTGACCTGTGGGCCACTGATAACCGAGCCCTGTAGCCCCCCAGTGCCGGGGCCCCACGAGACAGCGCATGTGGCGGGCCAGGGCCCATGGACACCCCTCCCGCAGCCCATCCCCTCTGTCCCCCAAGGCCGGCCTCGCAGGCACTGGGCCCTACAGCTGCCCCCGAAGTAGGGTGACTCTCCGCAGGTCTCCACCTGCCTCTACCCCCCACCTCCTGTAACTGCCTAGAGAGGAGATGGGGAGACCCAAGGGGCGGCCACTCCAAAGTGGAGGAACAGATGCCATTTTTAAATGAATCATGGACGAGCCGGAGACGAGCCTGAGGAGGCCACTGTGAAGCACTTACCTGGAGCAGGAGGATGAACTGTGGGAACCTCTGGATGGGCTTCATCATCAGGCTATAGAGCGTGGTTCGGTCAGGACTGGCCTCCTGTTCCTGCTGTGGGGGAAGGCACTGGGGTCACCTCCCCGTGGGGCTGCCATGCCCTGCCTGCCCCTGGGGCCGCCTCCTCCCCACCACACTGAACACCCGGGAAAGTCAAAAGCCTGCACCTTGTCTTCAGCTACAAGAAGAAACTTGGCCAAATACCTTCCAGCCGCTTTCTGCACCTGCTCTAGGGGCTTCCGCTTTGCTGCAGGGGCCAGGCCTCCCGTGTCGGCCTCAGCTCCCGGGGTTAATTCCCCAGGCCAGGGGACTGGGTAGATTCCAGGGGGTGTCCTTGGGTGTCTGTGTTCTGGCCATAGTGGGTCCCTAAAAAAGGCTGGCAACCTCTTCTGGTGCCATGGGCAGAAGGACGTCCTGGAGGCTGAGGGCCCCTCTCCCTGAGCACATCAGGGATGCACAGTGGGGCCATTTGCTACCGAGGCTGCTGGGCAATGTTGACCTGGGGGGAGTCTCCAGTTCTCTCCGCTGAGAGGGCAGCGCAGTGAAGAGGGCAGACAGCACAGACCTGGCTGTGCCCCGGTCTCTCCGCTCACAGGGCACCTGACTCTTTGGGGCTCAGGTCCTGGAGCTATGAAATGGGATGAGAGAGTATATCTCCTAAGGCCACAAGGCAGCCGCCAGCTGAGGAGTGGGCACCGCAGTCACAGCCACGGCTGACATCAAAACTACAACAGAATCCCCAGAGGGAGTGCGCTCTTAAGTGAGTCCATGTTTTCTTTCCCCAAGAGAAAGAGATGGTGCCCTAGCCAAAGGACAGAGCCCACAACTGTCCAGAGCGGGAACTGCGATCCGATCCCTTAGGACAGAGCCCACAACCCTCCAGAATGGGAACTGTAATCCGATCCCTTAGGACAGAGCCCACAACTGTCCAGAGTGGGAACTGCGATCCGATCCCTTAGCAAACCTCCATGGGCCACAGACTGTGTTCCAGCAAGAGCGGGAGCCGCCGTGCTGGATAAGGCAGAGGGAAAATATTCCAGCTTCAATGACACGTTGCTGTGGGTGAGAATGCTTGCCCTGCGTTCACTCGCTCCAGGTAGCAGCAGTTTCCAAGAAACAGTCCAAGTAAGAAGAACACACTTTGTCCCCGGGGTTTATCATGCAAATGAGGGGCTCCACAAAGGAGACTCAGTTCCGGGATGTCTTTGAAGGGGGTTTCAGCCTGGTTCATTGTGCAGCAAACTGTCAGAACACAGCCTGGGACACGCATCCCCTGACTGGGGAAGCCCTGCCTGCCTGCTGATTAAATAACGCTCGCCCACACCTGTCTGGGGACATGCTCCCCATCACTGCCAGGCCAGAGACCACTGAGGAAGGCCATCAGCGCTGTCCTCAGCATCGCAGGGAACACAGCCCGCGTCCCCGAGGGGTAGGGCCCGTTCCAGGCTCTGACTCTCCAGGCCGTTGCGTATCCCCGATCCCAAAGAGACCTGGAATTGAGATGTTTGGTTTCTTTGATTCCTAATACCATACTGAAGGACAGGAAGGAAAAGGTAACTTTGGGATCTGATCTTGACTTCTTTTTTTGGGATCTGATTTTAACTTTCTTTCTGTCTATTCACTGATATGCTTTTAAGGATGTGCAAATAAAATTGTTTTCAAAAAGCTACATTAGGACCTAAAATTCATCTTCATTTCTAGCATTAATCCAATACCTAGGGCACTATTGGTACTGAAATCTTAATAATGAATAACTGCATTTACAGCCAAAGTTTGACATTGTAACTTATTATCAGATGGTGTTAAAACCCAAATGAAAAAAAAATGTGTTTACCTTTAAAAATTCAAGAAAAGCGGGCTTTGTGGCACATGTTTTCTTGAGGACGGCCACGGCTGTACTGAAATTGTTCACATATTCGCTGTATGCGTCCAGCACCATGGACTTAGAAAACTGCAACACAGGAGGAAATTCAGAGAGAAATCACAGAGTCCAGATACCCCTTTTCCAACATAAAACAGAAGATTTGAAACTCGCCCTCAAAATACTCTTTCAGTCACTGTGATGTTTTCATAGGATAAACTATTACGACTGTGAGATTTTTTTTTTTCTTTAAGCAAGCTTGTTAGGAGTTAAGTTGCTGGTTTGATCTTATTTTTTGGCCCAAGAGCACTTCCTGACATTCTTGTTCAAAACCATGGTAATTTGGGTTTCAGTTAAGAATGTTTCTGACTACAGACAAATAAGGATGGTGATTTTAAGTTCCTGCCAAGTCTCACTTGGTGGGTTCAACCTCCAGGCAAGAAAGTCATGCAGCTCGTTCCATGGTGGGCCCAATATCCTGAGAAACAGGCCTCAACCACACCCTGGAAATGAGGCCTGGGGCGGGGGCTGATCCTGCTTCTCTGGAGTAAGATACAATGCCTCACACGTGTTCGTTTTCCTAAAAGCACAAAGGTGTTCTGTGAAGAGGCAGAAACATTTGTCCTTGCTATCAATATTCAAAGAGAGAAAAATCATTCCATGTTGTTCTAAGAAACCCAGGTCCTTTAGGATGGATGGCAGAGCTTTGGTGTGACCAGCGTTGATACAGGAATGCTTTCATCAAATTCTATTTCTTAAAAAAATCTGTTTGCATTTTAAAATATGTTGGGAAGGTAGGTATTTAAGGAACAGTGATAAGGCTGAAGTTAATATATAAAACAGCCAGAAAAAAAATCCAATAACAAAACAAATATCCAATATTTCTCTGTTTTTTAGGATCCATAATGGTATTATGCAAATATCTCTTAAGAATTTTGTTTCTGGCCGGGCGCGGTGGCTCAAGCCTGTAATCCCAGCACTTTGGGAGGCCGAGACGGGCGGATCACGAGGTCAGGAGATCGAGACCATCCTGGTTAACACGGTGAAACCCCATCTCTACTAAAAAATACAAAAAGCTAGCCGGGCGAGGTGGCGGGCGCCTGTAGTCCCAGCTACTCGGGAGGCTGAGGCAGGAGAATGGCGTGAACCCGGGAGGCGGAGCTTGCAGTGAGCTGAGATCCGGCCACTGCACTCCAGCCTGGGTGACAGAGCGAGACTCCGTCTCAAACAAAAACAAAAACAAAAAAAAAAAAAAGAATTTTGTTTCTATATTTATTCAAAGCATTTACAGACCTCATCAAGTACATATATAAACTATATAGGAAAACATTTCACATATTATTATGATAGCATTCATTTAAGAAGAGGAACACTTTTTTTTTAAACTTGCAAGCTTGTATCCCTTTGATAGCATCATAGTCTTAAATAATTACAGAAACCAATCTGTTTCACTCACAATCCTCTACATCTAGGTAGAATCCAACCCATATACAGTAAGTATGATTCATACACGGAGTGAGGATACAATGACTCGAAACTGTCAGTGCAGAAACCATCAGTGGTTTCCAGGCAGCTAACCCTTTCTCCTGCCAGGAAGTGTTCATGCAAGCTGTTGCAACATCGTATTCCTGTGTCACAGCACAGGGCCGAAAGCCTGTATCCACACAACAGAAGCTACAGCCAAGGGCAAACGTTTGAGAAAACATCTAGGAGTTTTCCCATCACGTGTTTTCTATTTTTCACAGGCACAGAGAATTCTGCACCCACAAAGTGACACCTAGATCAGGAACAGAACCTGTATAAGGGCTTAAAAACGGCAATTTTACGTTACCAAACACAGAGCATCCTTGTTCAACAACAAAAAGCTCCAGCAAATCATCTAACGGGGTATCTAAGGCTTGACAAAGTACATATGTTTAAATCGTCCCAGGTACAGCTTTTGTTCGGAGCGTCTGCCTTTCTGCCGTGGCCTCCCTGGTAAAGATCCATTTGTCATTTCCCTAGTGCACACACTTGGCCAGGGCATTGCAGCTTCAGCCTGACCTTCAGAGAGAACTGCACACTTGTCAGCTTGCAGGAGCTCAGGGACAAAACATCAGCCTAAGAAGGGAAGAGAGGACAGGTGCATGGAGAGCCCTGTGGACATCTGGGTGTCCCGGCTTAATTACCGAAGCCACGAAGACATCACCGATCATTTCCACGGAGTCCCACTCGGAAACGCGGCTGGCCAGCGCGATCTGAAACAGCGAGTGGCACTGCAGGATCTCTTTGACTCGGTAGAACACGGTCTTCAGCTTCCTCTCGCTCAGAAACTTTGGCTCCATCTCAGACAGCGGTTTCTCATATTGCTAAGACAAAATGAGCAAAGACGGGTCAGACTTTTCTCTTCAGACTTTTCTCTTTCAGAGCTTGGGTCTTGTTCTGTTGCCCAGAGTGTAGTGCAGTGGTGCGACCAGAGTGGAGTGCAGTGGTGCGACCAGAGTGTAGTGCAGTGTTGCGACCAGAGTGGAGTGCAGTGGTGCGACCATGGCGCACTGCAGCCTCAAACTCCTGGGCTCAAGCCATCCTCTCACCTCAGCCTCCCGAATAGCTGGGATTATAGGCATGTGCCATGGGGCATGGCTGCTTCAGACATTTTTCTTTCTTTTTTTTTTGAGACAGTCTCAGTCTGTCACCCGGGCTAGAGTGCAATGGTGTGATCTCAGCTCACTGCAACCTCTGCCTCCTGGGTTCAAGCAATTCTGCCTCGGGACCATAGGCGCATGCTGCCACACCTGAGTAATATTTTGTATTTTAGTAGAGATGGGGTTTCACCGTGTTGCCCAAGCTGGTCTCGAACTCCTGAGCTCAGGCGACCTGCCTGCCTCAGCCTCCCAAAGGGCTAGGATTACAGGGGTGAGACACCGAGCCCGGCCCAGACATTTTTAAATCTCAGATAAATGAAAATATTCACTTACATAAATTATATTTATTTCAAAATAAATCATGACGATGTCAATATACAGATACAATACTTAGATCCTTTTGAGAATTTTGCAAATTTGCATATGTTTCATAAGCATATATGTTTTGCATATATGTATCAAAATGTACATACATAAAAAAGATAATAAAAATGTATGTATTATGTAACATGACATTTAAGTACCTCCAAAATCCTCTTAAGAGCATCTACGTAGTTCTTTTCACTGTCGACAACTGAACCCAGTATATATCTTCTTACAACCTGTTGGAAATTTGAAAGTACAATGATAGAAAACTGCTTTATAATACATACAGATACATTTTACTTCTATGCTGAGGCTTGCTGATAAATAACTTTTCTATTTTTAGAAAACAGTGCATAAGGGTAACCTAATTAAATAACATTACAGGTACAAAACATACTTTGCCCCATTAATACAATTATATAATGTTTTAAACCTCAAACTATGAACTATAACTACAGTAGGGACAAAAAAAATTACAGCACTGAAAAGAAATTCCTCCACTTATGCAATAATAATAAACTAAACTAACTGATTGTATTTTATGTATCCAACATTCTGGTAGATGATATGTCATATGATTAAGGATAAAAATAGTTCCAGTCTTGATCAATGAATGTTACTAGCAACATTTATCTAAAATTCTTATTCCAAAGTTCTAAGAAAACAAAGTTTGTGGAATGTGGGGGAATCTTTTTTTTTTTTTTTTGGCAAAGATCTTTCAACCATCCAAAGATCTACCTATGAAGCCACAAATGTGGACAGTAAATTATTCATGTCACTTAGAGGTGCAAAAAAAAAAAAAAATTCCCTATAATCTGACATGTTTGCAATTAAAACCTGACGACATTTTCTGTCTTGCTTTTCATCACTGAAGCACATACAAATACAGACTTGTGGCTGTAAGATCCTGTGAAAGGCCAATGAGGACACCCAGCGTTTTCCTCATTCTAAAGACAGTCCAGCTAGTGATCATTGTACTTTCAATTTGCCAATTCATAGAAAACAGAGCAAAACAGGGCAATGGAGTTGCTCCTAAACCAGCATGCACACTCATGCATATGAACACATGCACGGGGCACAGCACACCACACAGACTCCTGCACATACCACCCCACATACATGCAAGATAACACCCACATGCATGCACAGAAACACACCACACACATGCACACACACGGACACACCAGTGTAGTACCAGGCTACCTGCAGCCCTGGATTAAGCTATTTGAAGGGACTGCATTGCCACCTAGTGGGCAAAGAGCATTTTTCACAAAGGAAATTTCTCTGGTTAAAAAGATTGCAGGGCAACCAAGATTTACAAAACCTGATTGACAAGGAAGAGATTACTCTTTTTAGAGAAAGGATTATTCCATGCGCAAAAAACAAAAATAAACCCTTCTAAAATACCCAAAGAAGAAACTGATGTATTAAAAAATACAGATGTGGCTAGGATTAAACACACACACACACACACACACACACACACACATACACACACGGCTAGAAGCTGGGAAGCTGCAGCTGCTGCTGCTGCTGACTGATTCACAGGAAACATTAGAGCACAGAGGCTTCCCTTTCAAATGACAGCTTAGAACCCAAAAGGACAAGCAACCCCTCCCATCATCAAACCCAGGCCAGTCTTTGTTCTGAAATTCAGATTCCCAGACACTATCCCAAGGCCCCGGGGTCAAACATAAAAATGTATTTGTGTATATATACATATAATATATATTATAAATAATATGTTATATACTACATATTATTTATATGTGTACATATATTATGTATATATATTATTTATGGGTGTGTGTGTGTGTATATATATATATTTAAAAGTCCTGAGATGATACTAATGTAGTATCAGGTCAAAAAATCTGGAATGGTATAATACTAAAATACAAAAACAACACCGATCTCCTGGGTTTCATGGCTACTGCATGTGATGTCAGTCTTTTCGGCAGTTCAGTGTGACACATCGAATTGTATGCCCGCTAAGGGGTGGGACGGGGAGCCTCCAGTGCTCAAGAAGAGTGTCACTCTCTTCCTGAGAAGCCTAACCTAAAGTCATAGAGGAGAAATCCATCCTGAGGGCAGCCCCCACAGGGAGGGTCCCTGACATGAAGGTCACGGGGCAACTGGACGAAGCCAGGGCTGGAGGTCAATCAGAGTGGCTCCTGGATCTGAGCCTGGACAGCCGTGGATGGGGCCTGGGCCTGGCCCAGCCTGCCCTTCCTCATATCCCCAGCGCGAATGGGGACAGGACAGGATCCTCTGTCCTCCAGCATCAAGGGTGCTTTCCAAGTAAAGACCGACCCTTCTTTATTTCAAAAAGAACATTTTCCTTTTTCCACCCCCAAATTAGACATGCAAAGAATGTTTAACATACAGCATTTTAGAGTTATGTTTCCCTTAATTCAATTCTAGAGGAGAACAAGAATTAAAGAGCATCAATACCCCCCATTTAACCTTTCAAGAGAAAACTCCCAGGGACAACACATTTGGCAGGAGGAAAATAAAATCAATGTGAATCGTGGCTACAATAAAGATAAGCTGCATGAAAAAATACAGAAATCCTAAATACTGCTAAGTTTTTAATCTTAATCCCAGCTGTCATCTAATTGAAACTGACAGTGCTGTGCTAACACCACACAGAGACCTTCCTATACAGGACTTCACTGAAACATTATGGTGTGATGAGCAAGATGGAAATAGACATTAAAATCCACCCTTCAAAGAAAGGGAAAACTGAACTTCAAAAACGAACTACTAGACAAAAGTAACCGAGATAATCAGATCAAAAAACAGGATTTCATCCAGGTCTGTGAGACTAATTTGGGAAGCTTAAACCCTTTACAGAAACCATAAAACCATGAACAGTCACCACCAATTCGCTGACGAAATCCGCCAAAATCAGTGCCCAACAGACAGGCACTTGGAAAAGTGCCATACACAAAAAGGTCAAACCATCTTTCCTCTAATATCTGCACCACACCTCTACTAATCACTACTCACTCTTTTCTCAGAGAACCTCGATTCCTACCCAGTGACATCCCACAGACCCCGTGCCCCCATCACTGTCTCCTCACAGACCCCTTATACCCCACTGTCTCCTAACAAACGCTCACCCCACTCACTGTCTACTCACAACTCTCACCCAACTCAGTGTCTCCTCACAGACCCCTCACACCCAACTCAGTGTCTCCTCACAACTATCACTCCACATAGTGTCTCCTCACACTCCTCACCCCACACAGTGTCTCCTCACACCCTTCACCCCACTCAGTGTCTTCTCACAACCCTCACCCCACTCAATGTCTCCTCAGACCCTTCACCCCACTCAGTGTCTCCTCACAACTCTCACCCCACTCAGTGTCTCCTCACAATCCATACCCCACTCAGTGCCTCCTCGCAAACCCTCACTCGGTGTCTTAACAAAAACCCTCACCCCACTCAGTGTCTCCTCACACACCCCTCACACCACAATCATTGTCTCCTCAAAAGCCCTCACCCCACTCAGTGTTTCCTCATGACCCTCACCCTACTCAGTGTCTCCTCACAGATCCTTACCCCACTCAGAGTCTCCTCACAGACCCCTCTTACCACACTCAGTGTCTCCTCACAACCCTCACCTCACTCAGTGTCTCCTCACAGATCTCTCACCCCACTCATTGTCTTCTCCACACAGACTCCTTACCCCACTCAGTGTCTCCTCAGTACCCCTCACCCCACTGTCTCCTCACAACCCTCACCACATTCAGTGTCTCCTCACAAACCCTCACCCCACTCAGTGACACCTCACAGACCTCTCACACCCCACTCAGTGTCTCCTCACAACCCTCACCTCACTCAGTGTCTCCTCACATATCCCTCACACCCCAGTGTCTCCTCACAACCCTCACCCCACTCAGTGTCTCCTCACAACCCTCACCCCATTCAGTGTCTCCTCACAGACCCCTCATACCCCACTCACTTTCTCCTCACAGACCTCCCCTGTGTGTCTCCTCATAACCTTCACCTCACTCAGTGTCTCCTCACAAACCCTCACCCAACTCAGTGTTTCCTCAGGACCCTCACCACACTCCGTGTTTCCTCACAAATCTCACCGCACTTGGTGACACCTCACAGACCCTTCACACCCCAATCAGTGTCTCCTCATACCCCCACCCAACTCAGTGTCTCCTCACAGAACCCTCACCCCATTCAGTGTCTCCTCACAGAACCCTCACCCCACTCAGGGTCTCCACAGAGAATCCTTACCCCACTCAGTGTCGCCTCAATACCCGTCACCCCACTCAGTGTCTCCTCACAGCCCTCACCAGATTCAGTGTCTCCTCACAACTCTCATCCCACTCAGTATCTCCTCACAACCCTCACCCGACTCAGTGTCTCCTCACAATCCACATCCCAGTGTCTCCTCATAAACCCTCACCCCACTCAGTATCTCCTCACAATGCACACCCAATTCAGTCTCCTCACAAACCTCACCCCACTCAGTGTCTCCTCAGAACCTTCAACCCCACTCAGTGTCTTCTCACAACCCTTACCCCTAACTGTCTCCTCACAACCCTCACACCACTCAGTGTTTCCTCACAAACCCTCACCCCACCTAGTGTCTTCTCACAAACCCTCCTCCCACCCAGTGTCTCCTCCCAACCCTCACACCACACTCACCGTCTCCTCACAACACTCACACCACTCAGTGTCTCCTCACAGACCCCTCACACCACACTGTTTCCTCACAGATTCCTCACTCCACTCATGTCTCCTCACAAACACTCACCCCACTCCGTGTCTCCTCAGAAACCCTTACCCCACTCAGTGATTCCTCACAGACCTCTCACACCCCACTCAGTGTCTCCTCACAACTCACATTTCACTCAGTGTCTCCTCACAACACACACCCCACTCAGTATCTCCTCAGAACCTTCACCCCGACTCAGTGTCTCCTCACAACCCTCACCCCACTCAGTGTCTCCTCACAACTCTCACCACACTCGGTGACAGCTCACAGACCTCACACCCCACTCAGTGTCTCCTTACGGACCCCTTACCCCATTCAGTGTCTCCTCACAGAACCCTCACCCTACTCAGCATCTCCACACAGACTCCATACCCCACTCAGTGTCTCCTCAATACCCTTCCCCCCATTCAGTGTATCCTCACAGCCCTCCTCACTCAATGTCTAACACTCACCCCAGTCAGTATCTCCGCACAACCCTCAGCTGACTCAGTGTCTCCTCACAATCCACAACCCCCTCACTGTCTCCTCACAAACCCTCACCCCACTCAGTGACTCCTAACAGACCTCTCACACACCACTCAGTGTCTCCTCACAACCCTAATTCCACTCAGTGTCTCCTCAGAACCTTCACCATCATTCAGTGTCTCCTCAAAACCCTTACCCCACTCACTGTCTCCTCACAACCCTCACCCGACTCAGTGTCTCCTCACAACCCTCACTGCACCTAGTGTCTCCTCACAACCCTCACCCCACCTAGTATCTCCTCACAACCCTCACCCCACCTAGTGTCGCCTCACAACCCTCACCCCACCTAGTGTCTCCTCACAACCCTCACCCTACTCAGTGTCTCCTCACAGACCCCTCACCCTACTCAGTGTCTGCTCACAGATGCCTCACATCACTCAGTGTCTCCTCACAACTCTCACCCCACTCAGTGTCTCCTCACAACCCTCACCCCACTCAGTGTCTCCTCACAACTCTCACCCTACTCAGTGTCTCCTCACAACCCTCACCCCACTCAGTGTCTCCTCACAGACCCCTCACATTCCACTCAGTGTCTTCTCACAGACCCCTCACCCCACTCAGTGTCTCCTCACAACTCTCACTCCACTCAAAGTCTCCTCAAAAACCTTCATCCCACTCAGTATCTCACACAACCCTCACTCCACTCAGTGTCTCCTAACAAACCTCTCCCCACTCAGTGTCTCCTCACAACCCTCACCCCACTCACTTTCTCCTCCCAACCCTCACCCCACTCACAGAGTCTCATCATAGACCCCTCACCCCACTCAGTGTCTCCTCACAACCCTTACCCCAATGACTGTCTCCTCACGACCCACACGCCACTCCGTGTTTCCTCACAACTCTCACCGCACTCTGTGACTCCTCGTAGACCCCTCACACCTCACTCAGTGTCTCGTCACAGACCCCTCACTCCACTCGGTGTCTTGTCACAGACCCCTCACCCCACTCGGTGTCTTGTCACAACCCTCACCCAACTCAGTGTCTCCTCATCTCACCCCACTCAGTGTCTCCTCACAATACTCACCCCACTCATTGTCTCCTCACAACCCTCACCCAAATCAGTGTCTCCTCACAAACCCTCAACCCACTCAGTATTTCTCAGGACCCTCACGACATTCCGTATTTCCTCACAACTTTCACAGTACTCAGCGACACCTCACAGACCCCTCACACCCCACTCAGTGTCTCCTCATACCCTTCACTCCACTCAGCTTCTCCTCACAACCCTCACCTGATTCAGTGTCTCCTCACAACTCTCACCCCACTCAATGTCTCCTCAAAACCCTCACCCATTCAGTATCTCCTCAGAACCCTCACCCGACTCAGTGTCTCCTCACAATCAACACCCCACTCAGCGTCTCCTCACAAACCCTCACCCCACTCAGTGTCTCCTCACAATGGATACCCAATTGAGTGTCTCCTCACAAACCCTCACCCCACTCAGTGACTCCTCAGAACCTTCACCCCCACTGTGTCTCCTTACAACCGTTACCACACTCACTGTCTCCTCACAACCCTCACACCTCTCAGTGTCTCCTCACAAATGCTCACCCCACTCAGTGTCTCCTCATAACCTTCACCCCACTTAGTGTCTCCTCACAAACCCTCATCCCACTGAGTGTCTCCTAACAACCCTCACCCTACCCAGAGCCTCCTAACAAAGCTCACCTACCACAGTGTCTCCTCAGAAACCCTCACCCCACCTAGTGTCTCCTCACAACCCTCACCCCACTCAGTGTCTCCTCACAAACACTAACCCCACTCAGTGTTTCCTCACGACCCTCACCCCAATCCGTGTTTCCTCACAACTCTCACCACACTCCATGACTCCTCACAGGCCCCTCATACCCCACTCAGTGTCTCTGCACAGACCTCTCACCCCATTCAGTGTCTCCTCACAAACCGCTTACCCCACTCAGTGTCTCCTCACAACCCTCACTGCACTCAGTGCCCCCACACAGACTCCTTATCCAACTCAGTGTCTCCTCAATACCCCTCACCACACTCAGTGTCTCCTCACAACCCTCAACCCACTGAGGGTTTCCTCACAAACCCCACATACCCCACTCAGTGTCTCCTCACAGATCCCTCAACCCACTCAGTGTCTCCTCACAACCCTCACCCCACTCAGTGCCTCCTCACAACCCTCACCCCACTCAGTGCCTCCTAACACAGTTCACCTCATGCAGTTTCTCCTCACAAACTCTCCCCACACCTAGTGTCTCTTCACAACCTTCACCCCACTCAGTGTCTCCTCACAACCCTCACCCCACTCAGTGTCTCCTCACAACCCTCACCCCACTCAGTGTCTCCTCACAACCCTCACCACACTCAATGTCTCCTCAAATACCCCTCACACCACTCAGTGTCTCCTCACAGACCCCTCACCGCACTAAGTCTCCTCATAGACTCCTCAGCCCACTCAGAGTCTCCTCACAACCCTCAACCCACTCCGTGTCTCCTCACAACTCTCACCCTACTCTGTCTCCTCACAATCCTCACCCACTCAGTGTCTCCTCACAATGCTCACCTGACTCAGGGTCTCCTCAGACCCCTCACACTGCACTCAGTGTCTGCTTACAACCCGCACTCCACTCCATGTCTCCTCACAACCCTCACCCCACTCAGTGTCTCCTCACAATCCTCACCCTACTCAGTTTCTCCTCACAACTCTCATTCCCCTCAGTGTCTCCTCACAAACCTCACCTCACCCAGTGTCTCCTCACAGACCCCTCACACCCCACTCAGGGTCTGGCGTCGTCTCTCTCACCCTCACTCCAGCACCCTGCCTACTGGTTTGCAGCTCAGGCTGCTGTCTTGGCTTGGGCCATGTGTCCTCAAGGTCTCCTGGCTCTTCTGGTCCTGAGTCACTCACACTCCTGCTATGATTCCTGTCTAGTCCCTCATCTGCTAGGAAGCTGTCCTCCTGCCAACATTAGCAGCATTTCCTCTGTGATTTTCCCTTCTTTGGGTATTTTTGGTTTTCAGCTTCATCACTGCACTAAGTTCTCAGAGTGCAGGATCCAAGTTCCTCTCACATGGTGTGTCCTCACCAGCACAGGTATCCCACATGCAGTGAGGGATAGTAGAGGATTGGCCAGTGTGTTATCCTATTGAGCGCCTCATAGGACTGGCAAGAAGGTGTTCAGCCATGAACCCCTTTTATAGCTCCTGAGTCTGAAGTAAGGGCAGCACGCACAGGAAAAAGTGCTAGATTCTCTGTTTCTGGCAAAGGCTGTCAACCATCCCCCTGGGCATGTGGCAGCACAGATCACATGGCCCCAGTGAGCACAGACAGGTTAGTGGCAGGCTGTGATGGGAGAGACTGAGATCAGACACGACCCCTTCTCGCGTAGCTGGAGGATGCAGTTGCGATGATCAACCTCCTCCAAGTCCAGGCTTCCTTACAGAGTATACAAGGACAGCAAGGGGATTTGCGAGGATGAAACTCAGTGAAACACACCAGGGACCCGGCATGGGGCCTGCACAGAGCATGCACCCATGAGTGACAGCCGCTCAACAACCGTCTCCAAGCTCTGTGGACACTTTGTCCCGTCACTTGTGTGATGCTGCTGACAAAACTAATACTTCAGTCATCGCTGCTCAATTCCAGTGAAATGTAAGCTTCCTATTTTAGCCTGGCTGCCTATGAACAGCTCGCAGGTTTCCCTTTTCATCTCTTTTTAAACCCTGGCCAGTCGCTAAGCATTTCTATGTTGTTTTTCTTTAATCTGACAATGATCTCTCTCGCTCTATCTGCCTACCTGTATCCAGGGATCTCCCCAGAGGTGTGGATTACACGTGTCTGCCTATCCATCCTGGTGTCCATGATTTGCACCTTGCTGCCCGTGTGGGAAACAGCTCCCATCGTCCCAAAGCATCAGCCCTGCTGCTAAAGGCCTGCAAACTCAGTGCTGTCACTCTGGTTCCTCAAGTTTTCTCCTCCTTTCACCCAAAGGCAATCCCGTGAAAACCAGTGATTTTTTCTCTTCTGCTACCAAGTACCAGATTTTTAAGAAACGCATTATATTCAGATTTAATTAGTTACTGAAAATCTGTCATTTTCGTCTCAGTCTCAGGTAGCTACACACACATACTGACCAGACACACCCCCACTCTGTCTCTGTGAAAGCACAAACTGTGTGACTGACTCCCACGAAGAATGCAAGTTCCTCCCCTTTCTCACAGTTACACTCAGGGGTGCCTGTCCAAAATATTTAAGGACCAGAAGAGCCTGAGTCCAGGCCACAGCTGCTGACCAGGGTCCCCCCAGACCCTTATTGAGCCCAGCATTAAGCCTCTAAGTGCTGGGCCAGGAGTCTACAGTGGAGGGCCCGAGTGGATGCAGAGTTTGAGACAGCAGATATTTACCAACCAGCATCAAACATACACATATTTAAAAACCAGCACAGCTCTGCTGGTCAACAGTCCCTGAGTGTCAGCTCCGCTCATCTCACCTGCTGCTGAGATAAACCCTCGGGCATCGGGGTCAAGATGGCTTCTGGGTGCTTGCAGTCAACATCAATGAACAGATTCTGCTCTTCCTCAAGAGAAGATCTGTGATCTTAAAAATAAGTCAAAATGCATGAGCTTTACATTGAAATAATATATTCAGAACATTACAGTACACTAAAATAATATGTCAAATAAGTATTTTGTGTAGACCTTTCAATTTTCCATGCTTACTTGACACCCAGCTATTATTAAGTTGGATTTTTAATAAATCCAATAAAATATTCTTTCCACAGGGTAATACAGTATTTGTCTATATTTGAAATTTTCAGTATTTAAAGTTTAACTTCAAAAGGGAGAGGTGCCATTTGAATAGCTAGATAGTAAAGTGGCAATATTTTGGCATTTTAATGTTTTAGAATATTTCATAAATTAAATAGTTTCTTAATCTATAAAATATCACAATCAAAAACAAGAAAACAGCTAAGAATGGCTAAGAATGCTCACTGAAAACTGAGGTGAGTCAAAAGTCAATGAAAACTGAGGTAGCACTTAGTATATTTCTTGTGTCTCTCTCACTGGACACTTTAAGAAGCATAGCTTTCCAAAACTCAAACAGTTTAAACAAACACTAAATTCACAGTCGGGTGTGGTGGCTCACTCCCCTAATCCCAGCACTTTGGGAGACTGAGATGGTACAATCACTTGAGCCCAGGAGCTCAAGACCAGCCTGGGCAACACAGCAAGACTCCATCTCTACGAAAAATTTAAAAATTAGCCAGGCATAGTGGTGAGCACCTGTACTCCTAGCTGGTCAGGAGGCTGAGGCAGGAGGATGGCATGAGCCCAGGAGGTCAAGGTTGCAGTGAGCTGTGGTTGTGCCACTGCACTCTAGCCTGGGCGAGAGTGAGACCCTGTCTCTAAAAAACAAGAAAACGCCTACATTCACTTTTAAAACACCGGTAACTACATTAAAGCATCTACAAAATGGGCTGGAAATCAGAAAAGCACAGGAAGTTTTAGGGGATAGAAACCTGAGTTTTTCTGGTTCAAAGATCCCAAACCCTGGCTGCACAGAAACATCTATCTAAGGGGCTTTAAAACCTACTGATACCCAGACTTTTCCCTCAGAGATCAACGGCTCAACCAGGGAAGGAGGGCCTGGCACCAGCATGTTTTAAAAGCTTTCTCGTTAATTCTTAGGTACAACCAGGATGAAGAACAAAATTCTGAGCAAGCCTCTCATTTTATGGCTTAGGAAATTAGGGTTGGGAGGTTAGAGATTTGCCTATTAAACCGCCGCATCTCTCCAAGTGATCCCCCAAAGAGCACCCCCTAAACCAGAGACAAATCACGACCTGCTCCCAGGTCCTGAGTCAGGGTTTCTCAGACTGTCCCACACACCCAGTCCTGGGGGATTCTGCCGGCCTGCAAATCCTGGCTCGGGGGCCTGGCATGGGCTCTGGGTGGGCAGTTGTGATCAGATCCTGGAGTCTGGGTCCCGGTCAGGGGGGTGCTGCTGGTGGCAGACACAATCCTGGAGGCAGTGAATCCGGCCCCAAATCCCAACTCCTCACTGGACTGAGCTGCCTGTGCTTTCCAGGCGCTGTGTAAATATGGCCACCTCCTCCAAAGCTGTCCTTTGCTGCCCCAAGCACCTCATGGCACCCCTATCAGGGCACAATATTACTGCACATGTTACTAGAAAGTACCTGCCTGTCTCCATCACCAAATAAACCCTCGGGGATGCTGACAGCTTTCCCCCACCTTGTCTGAGATGCCGAGGGCTTAGGACTGAAAGAGGAAAAGGCCTCCTGAGTTACACCATGTCATACCAATTACACATCGTATCCGAGGCCGTTCCTTGAGGGAACACGTGATTGTAAAGTCCCTTCCAAGTACAGATATTAGCAAATGCTGCCCATGTCCTAGCACCAGACAGGCACGTTAGAAAACTGGAGAAACAACCGGGAAATGCCAGGTCAGAGTCACAGCGACCCCTGTGTGACAGTGAAGTCTCAGCCACCCTCCCGTAACTCGACCTCAGGACATCTGTGCAAAGGCTCCGAGAAGTTTCCTGGGACGGTGCATAACCCTGGCCGGCCGCTTGTTGCCACCATGCATGACACCTCCACACCAGCTGCCTTTTCCACACATACCTGCACAGACCACTGCCCCTGTGTGAGATTTTCAGAAAAACCTGGAAATTCTGCCATCTACTCCAAATCTCCCCTCACCAAGGAAAATGTTCCTGAAATCCCAGTTCAGGATGCTCACGACCTCAGTCCCTGTGGGACCATGCCCAGGAGGGCCCATGTGCTGTAAATAGAGAGTCCAGTGCCAAGAATCCACAGTGACGGAGGCCCCTGCGTGGCCCTCCCTAGATCCAGCCAGTGATTCTCAATGATTCCTCACTGCTGGGTGCCCTTGGCCTAAAACGCCACCCCTGCAGGGCGGGGAGGCCGGGGTCAGCGGGGCTGATCCAGACCCAGGCACTGAGCAGGCCGGTGCTACCCGAGACGCAGGAGCCTGCATGGCCACCCCCAACCCCGCAAGATGTGGCCGCCCCCCAACCCCATGTCCTCCCCACAGGAAGACCCACAGGCACGGACCCTGTGCAATGAGAGACTTGGTCCTGATGAACGACCGGCCCCTCTTCACAGCCGCTCTGGTCCTCTCCAGCCCATCCTTGGTGCCGTCCTTCGCAGCCTTCACGAGCTTCTGCATCTGCGACAGAGAGGGAGATGTGAGAACGGGACGGTGGCAGAACCCACCTGCGACTTTCATTTGCCTGTTTTAAAAGAATACTGTCAAGTAGTCTGGTTCTTGTGAGCGCATGTGTCATGTGCAGTTCTGGGCTAGGTTTTGTTTTGGTTTTGTTTGTTGGAAAAAAGAAAAAAACAGACTTTGAAAACACAGCCCTTCCTGGACATGGTGAAAAATGTTCCCTGCCCCATTTGCAGTATTATATGTGATCCACCCACACAAACAGCTACGTGGGGGTCACAGGTGAGTCACTAACGTTCACAAATGTCAAACAACTCGCCCCGAATTAAATGGCAAAACAACTAACTGCAGACGCTCACAGCTCCAGTTCAGCCTTTTAACCTCCCCGGAGCTTCCCACGGCACCCCACGTTGGGGCAAGGCCAGCTGTTGACAAGGCCACCTCACACGCATGGTCACAGGGACCCAGCCCCAGTCACGGGGTTGAATTCAAGGCCCGGCAAGTGCTGCAGACACACACGGGATCCACCCGAGGGAGGGTCGGGGTGTAGCACACTGCGGATGTCAGACTTGAAGGCCACGTCCCCCGGGCCTGGGGCTCCCTGCCTCCACTTCCTCAGACAGTGCTGTGCTGGACACTCACGGCTGCCTGGACTCAGGCGTCTGAGACGTCTCCTGCCATCTGACTTCTTACTCCTTAAAAACCGAACATCTGAGGTACTGGCCACTGGACGCCGAGAGATTCCTCTCTAAAAGATGATCTCTTATGGGACCACCGACGTCCCCTTCCCAGGGACCTCCCAAAGGGACCAGCAGTGCAGCTGAGAACCAGGCTCTCTTCACTCTGGGTCACATCACCGCGGGAGGAGCGGGGCTGCTGGACGCCAGCATGCAGACAGTTGCTCTAGCCCTGGCCGTGTCTGCCTGCCCTGGACTTCCAAACGCCTGAGGGCTGCCTTCGGGAAGTGTCCACCATGAACACCACGCAACACGCCTGGCCTCACACCCGCGTCACCCGCCCCAGCCCATCTCCATCACTTGCAACTCTGTCCCCCATCGACGACGTTAACATCACGGCCCCCGTGGGCTCCCCCACTCCTGCATCTCCCAACCCCACATGGGACCACGTCCTGCTGCCATTTCCTCGGTCCCTGCACCCATGCCCCTGCCTCCCGCCCGATGCCGCAGACAGCCCTGCCCGCCTGCGCGTATCCATCCCGCACAGTCTGCCCACCTCCTGCTCTTTCTCAATCCCGGATCTGGGCTGTGAACCCTTGGTTTTCAGCCAGCCTGTCAGGATCCCTGGACAGAGAATCAGAGAACTGCAAACCGACAAACTGGAGAGCCACCACGGTCCCTAAGCCCCAGCTCCATGCACAGCAGGTGAGACCCCAGGTTCCAGGTCACAGCCTCGGCCAGGTCTCCTGGCTCCCAGAGCTGACACGGGGCTGCTCTCACTAGGGGAAGCGAGTGTGCTAGGCCCGACCCTGGCTGCTTCCCCGGCCTTCCTTCCCCGCTTCCCACAGTGCCCTCACCTGCTTCAGCCAGGGCACGCCCCGTGTCTGTGGAAATCTCCAAACGTAGCTCACACCCCCCTCCCCTCGCTCTGATGGTGCCCTCCGCTCCTCGGAAACCCCGCCACACTGCCTGCCGCCTCCGGCAGGTCCCATCAGACACCCTGCAGGAAGCCAGCCAGACGCTGGATGTGAGGGGGTAACACGGCTCCCAGGAGGCGGCCGTGGCTTCGGATGGCCCAAGCACAACACGGTGGATGAGCCGGCTGCTCCAGAAGCCGTGTGGAGTGCACGTCCCTTTCCAGCGAGTGCCACTCAACACATGTGAATGATCACAAAATACCAGCAGGATAAAAGGTCAAATTCCAGGAAAAAGTACTTGACAGTGCCCTTTTAAAAGACATCGCGCGGAACAGACTGTCACCACACTCACGTCCAGCAGTTCTCAAGCGTTCCGGTCTCGGGGGCCCTGGACGCTCTTAAAAATTATGGAGAGCCCAAATGGCTTTCGTTTACGGGGATTTTACGTATCAATATTTACTGCATTTGAAGTTAAAATGCTGAAAAAGTTGGATATTTTTATAAACGTTCATTTAAAAAATAATCAACCTATTACATGTTATCTCAAATAACATCAATGAAAAATTGCTGTGTTTTCCAAAACAAACAGAAAGTGGCATTGTTGTGCATTTCTGGAAACCCCTATCACGTAGACAGCCGGACGGCATTGCGCCAGCTGTGAGGCCACAACCGTGGAGCCTCCAGAATGTTCTTGGGTTCCCGGTAAGAGGGAGAGAGTGAAAGGCACCGAGCGTCTCAGAGTCCATGTGAGCCCCAAAGCGCCGGGGGATGCCGGGAGCCCCGGACCACCCTTTGAGAACCGCTGTTGAGACAACAAGGACCGACCAAGCCACATGGTTTTTCTTTACTGCCCGGCCGGCGAGTGGGGGCAGCGGCCGGGGGCAAGACTCTACCTTCAGTTCATGCTTCTGCCTGAGCTGCTGAATCTCCACCGCGCCCACCGTGCTTGCCATCAACTCTCTCATCTTTTTCTCATAGTGCTCCTTTAAACGGGTTAGGTCATGAGAAAGCTACAGCATAAAGAGACACAGTCTTTTCACAAAAAGGCTCTTTTTGGTTCTTTGGGACAATTTTACATTGAGCGGATACTGGCAGCATCTGCAGTGGCACATCAGGCCTCTCCTGGCTGGGGGCTTCTGGGACCACACGTGAGAGTCCCCATTACTAGCCCAGTTGGTCCTTGAGAGATAAATGCACAAACAGTTGGCCGGGCGCGGTGGCTCATGCCTGTAATCCCAGCACTTTGGGAGGCGGAGGTGGGAGGATCACTTGAGCTCAGGAGTTCAAGACCAGCGTGGGCAACATGGTGAAACCCTGTCTCTATTAAAATCACAAAAATTAGCCAGGCAGGGTGGTGCGCGCCTGTGGTCCTAGCTACTTAGGAGGCTGAGGTAGGAGGATCACTTGAGCCTGGGAGGTGGAGGCTGCAGTGAGCCGTGATGGTGCCACTGCACTCCAGCCTGGGCGACAGAGTAAGACCCTGTCTCAAAAAAAAAAAAAAAAAGAGAGATAAATGCAGAAAGGAGTTAAACATGGCATCAAAACACAGACACTATCCAGACGCCAGGCTACAGTCTTCTCCGTGCTAGACGGGAGCAAATGCACGCACACAAAATATCTGTAAAATCGTTCATTTACATTTTGGTGGAATGAACATTATCCAATATACAAAAATACAGAAAATTATTTTTATGTCAGCATCCAAGCAAAAGATACTTGTATTTAAACTGTACTGAAGGTGACATATTTTGGGGATGGCAGCATGGATTTTCAACAGTCTCCAACCTGAGGTCACTTTCTCTCTGACTGACTGGGGACCCCCTGGATCCTTGTCCGTGTGGTCACAGACACTTCAGATGCACGTGGCTGAGGCCCCACTGCTCCTCTGGGGGCATTTCTCATGTCACGGACACTTTAATAAAATTCGAGATTTTTTGAGATGACTTTTGAACAATATCTAGTTTTATTTTGGTCGTTTTTAAAATGTGACCATTTAAACCAGAAAACTTGGTGCTGCCTGCAGCACTTCCATCCTGGTCAGGCCTAACCCAGAGGCGCCCTGTCTGCACCCCACACAGTATTCCCCAGTCCAGGCCACTGTCCTGGCAACATGGAGGTACAGGAGACGCTGGAAATGCAGAGCCTGGCACTCCCGGGTTGTAATTCTGCACCACAAACCCACTGTGTGCTGGCTTTCCCCAGCTCCTTCTCCCAGCAGGGAGGGCTACTGAACCACTGGCACTGCCTGGGCAGTCAAGGGCTCCTCTGGGATGTGGGTCTGCCCCAAGGCAAGGGCAGGGTCTCCTGAGTTATTATTAAGGAATGACTACTAATGCCTCTGGGCTCCTCAGTGGCCTGGCCCCTCTGTCCACAGCCCACCACGAAGGCGAAACCAAACAGCATGTAACCCACGCTCCGAGGCACCCACCGAGCCTCCATCTGTGACATCAGAGTCCAGCACTCTTCTTAAATCTCAGTTTAAATCGTGTCTGACTCAGCTACAGCAAGCTAAATATCATCTTAGTTATCAGCTCTGTTAAAAACTACAACTGCAGGCTGGGTGCAGTGGCTCACGCCTGTAATCCCAGCACTTTGGGAGGCTGAGGCAGGCAGATCACGAGGTCAGGAGTTCGAGACCAGCCTGGCCAACATGGTGAAACCCTTTCACTACTAAAAATACAAAAATTAGCTGGTGATAGCAGCTGCCTGTAATCCCAGCTACTTGAGAGGCTGAGGCAGGAGAATCGCTTGAACCCGGGAGGGGACCTGAGATCATGCCATTGCACTCTAGCCTGGGCGCAGGCGAGACTCCGTTTCAAAGAAAAAAACCAAACAAACAAATAAACAGAAAAACTACAATTGCAGCTTCATCGGTTGTTTAAATCGCTATTGTAATAATGATGGTGACAGAAAAGATCGAATTCCTGGAAGAACTTGTGAATGAAACTGGGTAGGTGAGCTGACCGCCATGATCTGGTAGATTTTCCTTGAGTTTCATGAAGCAGGTTCACAGAATATGAGAATTGTAGGCAACCCATAATCACTTGTAAACCACAGGGATGTGGCAGCTACGTCCAGGAGTGAAATCTCCGCTTACTGGGGGCTACTAGGGGATGGGCAGGATAAAACCGGTTATCACCAACTGTCACTATGGCGGGCATCGGGTCACCATCTGTATCAGTAACACAGGACTTGCTGGCCTCAGACGAGGACTGTGTGTGGCCTGCATCTCAGCCTCACACGGAAAGTACATGGACTTCACTGCAGATGAGCACAAATCTATCCTTTTACAAATAGTCAAAAAAAATACTCTAACAATAAAAACCCTGTGGCACGGCCCGGCACCACCGAGACCTGGAATGTGTCTCAGCTGAACGGTTCCCAGGTTCCATGGCTCACAATCACCCAATTCCAGAATTCACGCCTTACAGCTCTGACGTCCCACCTCGCACCCTAATCTCAAGACTTTTACACACACACACAAAAATAAAAATTCCCTGTAAGAAAGAAATTCCCAGGCTGGGCACAGCAGTTTACACCTGTAATCCCAGCACTGTGGGAGGCTGAGACGGGCAGATCACCTGAGGTCAGGGGTTCGAGACTAGCCTGGCCAACATGGGGAAACCCCATCTCTACTAAAAATACAAAAATTAGCTAGGTGTTGTGGCGGGCACCTGTAATCCCAGCTACTTGGGAGGCTGAGGCAGGAGAATGGCTTGAACCTGGGAGGTGGAGATTGTAGTGAACTGAGATCATGCCATTGCACTCCAGCCTGGGAGACAGAGTGAGAATCCATCTCAAAAAAAAAAAAAAAGAAAAGAAAAGAAAAAAGAAAGAAAGGATTGTCACAGGGCAGTTTAGAAGCTTTTGTCCCTTAATATCTATTTTTACCTCTTCCTGTTCATGCTGAACATGTTAAAGTTCAAAACCTGGCTTAAGGTAAAGTGCAGATGTGCTGTGTCTCAGGGAACCCTGATCCCATCTACTCAGTGTTCTGCAAACGGTGCTACGTGCAAAGCACATAATACATTAAAACACAAGCAATTCAGAGAATAACTACTTTCTCATTCCAGGAGGTGAGCTCATTTAAGACCTTCTAAGTGGTTTACAGAAGTTTAATTTCTCAATCCTTCCATGACGATACTTAATTATATGAAACGAGAGACGCCTTCTCCTTTGCCAATATCTTACGCTTTCCCCAAACGACTTATCAGCATCTTAACAAATCACTAAGAAGTACCAGGTGGCTCACAATCGTATATTCACAGCTCCCTGCCTGTGTCAACACGAGAGCACTGTCCCTCACACGTGCCCGGAACACATACTTGCTTTTTGTGGTTGCTGCGCAGGAAGGACCTGGGAATCCCATTCTTGCACTCCGAGTCACTCTGCTCTTCGTAACTTTCAAATTCGCTCGAACTCCATCCGTATTCCAAAGAGCTGTTTCCGCCTTCATCCCCATTCTCAACATCATCATAAATCATTTCATCTGAGTGCATAAATTCCAAAAGGAAATTAAAACTTTAGAATTCCACGTGGGCTGTTTTGTGCCTGTTTGTGGTTTTACCGAGTCATCTAGAGCTGGGGGTGGAGGCAAATCTGAATCATGCTGAGGACCCTGCAGAGCCCCGGGCGGGCTCCACGAAAGCTACTGTGCAGAGCCTCCACCACCCGGGCAGCGCCAGGGAAAAGCGCTTCAGGCGTTTCTCACAAGTGCCCCTGCCCCATCTGTACCCTGAGGACCACCTGACTACGGGCATCCACCACGGTCCTGTCAGATAACTTGTCAGCCTTAGAGAACTTCCCACGAAGAAAAATCTTCCTTTACGTAAACTTACAGGATGTTTTGAAAATTAGAGAGAGAATTGGTGGACAGATGATAGGCAGGTAGATGGATGGTGGATTATAGAACTAGGGATAGGTGGATGATACAGATATTCAAGTACCGGCACTAGCAAGAAAATACACACAGATTTTTAAATTTTCAATGCTGTGATGCTAACAAGACTTTTAGAGAATGAAAATGACATTCTTCAAAATACCAGAATATTAGAGTCTCTCTAAATCTTTTATCAGTCACACAAGCATAAATGTTTCTTTATTTTACCTGGTTTCTTAGACATAAATAACCTCTTAAGAATAATCTCCATGCCTTAATAATGTTAAATTTATTCTTTATGCACCCACAATCATTCACTATAACAAAACTTGGCCTTAAAGATCCTTAGTAATTAAGCACTGAGGAATACATACATCTTAGCACATAAGTAACATTCAAAACCAACACGTGCTTTCATTGGAAATGCAAAACTAGACATGAACTTGTCACTTATAATCCCTAGATATTTGAAATTACCCTATCCTTGTAATATTTCTCCACTGACTACAAAACAGGTCCTCCAAATGTCTGACTAAAAGTTCTAGCAAAGCCATAAAATGTGTGAAATGAGCTCACTTTGCAGAAGCTGCAGTGTGTTCTGTGTGCCACAGGCAATGATCACCACCCGGGCACCCGGCAGCCTCAGCAACTCAGCTTAGCAGATGAACAGGTCAAGTCCTTACACAACTGCCTGAAATTTGGGGCCAAGTGTCATCCTGAGAGCTCACTCACGTGCCCAAGAGCCAAGAGTCACCCTGAGAGCCCACCCACATGCCCAAGAGTGGAGGGGCTGCAGCCTCTACCATGGACTAGGGGACTCAGAAAGGGCACCCCTACATGCCCCGGTGTGTGTCTGCACTCACCCTCCAGCCTGCCTTAGAATCTCCACCCCCTACACACCCCGGTGTGTGTCTGCACTCTCCCTCCAGCCTGCCTTAGAATCTCCACCCCCTACACACCCCGGTGTGTGTCTGCAATCTCCCTCCAGCCTGTCTTAGAACCTCCATCCCCTACACACCCTGGTGTATGTCTGAACTCTCCCTCCAGCCTGTCTTAGAACCTCTTTCCCCTACACACCCCAGTGTGTATCTGGACTGTCCCTCCAGCCTGTCTTAGAACCTCCATCCCCTGCACGCCCCGGTGTGTGTCTACACTCTCCCTGCAGCCTGTCTGAGAACCTCCACCCCCTACACACCCCGGTGTGTGTCTACACTCTCCCTCCAGAGGTTCTAAGGAACCTCCATCCCCCATTTCCTTGCATCCATCTCTGGACTCCCAACTTTTCTGGTCTACATAAAACAAGTCCACACAGACATGGTTTTTAGACACGTTATCTTTTTCACCTCAATTAGGTTTTCAGCCCTTTGAGAGCTGGAGCTGCATTTTCTGTATTCAGCACAGCAGCTGGCAAGAGTCTAATCAATCAATCTAGTTCTCTCAGTGCCTTGTCAGGGCTCCTGGGACCTGGCCACAGGATCAGGCAAGTTCAGACGCTGTTACCTTAGCTCTATTACAACTCAGGCTATTCAGAGGCATGAAAAATGGGTGGTTTTCAACCACCCATTTTCAATTGCGTTTTAGAAATGCAATTGCTGTTCTGGCCTCCAGCATACGTGGAACTTCCAAGGACTTTGAAGGGTCTTGCTAACCCTCAATTCAGTGAATTACTTATGTCCTCTTGAATGCCTGGGCTTGCAGATTTGTAGTTCTAAAACTGGACGTTAAATCCAGTCACCCTGACGTGTGTTTTCTGACCGAGCCTGTGACTAGGGCAGTGCCAATGACTTATTTGCCGTGATGACAATCTTGTCCGCCCTTAGCCCTGCGTATTTAAAAAGTGACCCTACGGAGGTGTTGGCTGCACAGTGAGCGTACCTAATGCCACTCAACTGTACACAAGGAACTAGCTGAAACGAATATTTACGTATACCCTGACACAATAAAAAAAAAAAAAAACAGAAGAAAAGTGGCTCTGTGTGGCCTCCATAACATCTCCCACTTGCTCCTTGTGTTTTGAGAGCCCTGAACTCTAAATGAGTGAGGAAATGCGGGTGCACTACCCCACAGGCTCCTCTCAACGCAACGAGGAAATGCGGGTGCACCACCTCAGGGGCGCCTCTCAACGCAACGAGGAAATTCGAGTGCACTACCCCATGGGCGCCTCTCAACGCAACGAGGAAATGCGGGTGCACCACCCCGCGGGCGCCTCTCAATGCCATGAGGAAATGCGGGTGCACCACCCCACGGGCTCCTCTCAATGCCATGAGGAAATGCAGGTGCACTACCCCACGGGCTCCTCTCAATGCCATGAGGAAATGCAGGTGCACTACCCCACGGGCTCCTCTCAATGCCATGAGGAAATGCAGGTGCACTACCCCACGGGCTCCTCTCAATGCCATGAGGAAATGCGGGTGCACTACCCCACGGGCTCCTCCCAATGCCATGAGGAAATGCAGGTGCACTACCCCACGGGCTCCTCTCAATGCCATGAGGAAATGCGGGTGCACCACCCCGCGGGCGCCTCTCAACGCAACTTGATGCCAGCACACTGTCACTTTCTCCTCTTGCTTTTTGCTCACCATGGCTTCTGAGTTCTTATAAATATACACACATATAATTTCTTCGTTTTTCTGCTGCTGTGCTGTGAGTGGTTTACTGGATACTTCTGCACGGTGCCCTCCAGCAGCCACCAGGCTTTCCAGTCTCCCGCTCCTCAGGACGGCTCTGCACAGAGCATCCCACAGGACCCTCCTGCGGCGGCGTGAGCTTCTCTCGGAAACTGGCTCCCTGCCCCAGCACCGCTACGGATGGCCTGTCTGTTAACTCCTGCTTGTGCTGTCCTTACAAAGGGGACACACTGGGCCTCGCCACACGGCAGAAGGCCGACGGCTGGACTTCCACAGTGTGCTGGGTTCTGAGTCACCAGACCACGCCTTCTGCGAGGAACGCCCAACACAGCCGGACAAATTACCCCAAAATGCATTTCAAACTTGTTTTTACAGCAACTAGCCTTTGGTCCTCACTTTATTTGTGGCATCTATTTAAGTAACTTCCTATGGGCACACTTACCTACAAGCACCTAGGAGTTTTCCTGATCGACAGGATGAAACCACTCTGTCTCCAGGACGGCAGGCACACCTCCATCTAGTACTGGGTATGGAACTGCCCAAAACGTATTTGGGGAATGAATAAATTAATAAATGCCTTGGGCTCCTCCCCATTACGTTTGCAGTAGATTTTACCAACACGTCCTTAATTCAGCTAAGTGAGTTTCCTTCTATTAGGAGTTTTTAATGTTGGACGGCCACTGAATCTCCGCAAGTGCTTTTTAAACACATGCTGAGAGGAGCATACAGGTTTATGTCCATTAATCTGGGGAAATCGTGTTACAAGAACTTCCCAAAGGATCCTGAGCTGCTGCCATGAATGTAAGAGGTCAAGATGGGCTCTTGCTTATTTGTCAGGGTCATGCTGGATTGAATTTCCTGACATTTCAGGAAGGAAATGTAGCATCAACCCTTGTGGGTGAGGGGCGTTTACAAGCTTATCCTAACATTATAAACTAATTTACACCGCATCCTTGCTTCTGCTATTCACTGGAACAGTGCATGTGACAGAGGGGTTTGCCTGCTCCCTGAAGGCTCAGTAAACCCCAGCATAAAAACATCTGAGCCTGGTGGGCTGCTCTGCACAGTAGTAAGCAAATCATTCAATATCTTGGATCACTATAGGTTTGGTCATGGTTTTTATTTTGGGTATATTTGATTCTTCAAGGCAATTTTTAATTTAATCTAAATTTTTGATAAAAAGTTATTTATAGGCCGGGCGCGGTGGCTCAAGCCTGTAATCCCAGCACTTTGGGAGGCCGAGACGGGCAGATCACGAGGTCGGGAGATCAAGACCATCCTGGCTAACATGGTGAAACCCCGTCTCTACTAAAAAAATGCGAAAAAAGTAGCCGGGCGAGGTGGCTGGTGCCTGTAGTCCCAGCTACTCGGGAGGCTGAGGCAGGAGAATGGCCTGAACCTGGGAGGCGGAGCTTGCAGTGAGCTGAGATCCGGCCACTGCACTCTAGCCTGGGCGACAGAGCAAGACTCCGTCTCAAAAAAAAAAAAAAAAAAAAAAAAAAGTTATTTATAGCATCCTCTTATGGTTTTTACAAATTTCTACTGCAGTTACATCCTCTTGATCAACTTCTTCCTTCCTTCCTTCCTTCCTTCTTCCATCCCTCTCCTCACTTTCTCTCTCTCATCCTAATATAACCAGAGGCTTGTCTATTTTTGTATTATTTTTAAAGAACCAACCTTTGGCTTTGTTAATACTTTATGTTGCTTCCTGGTTTTTTATTTCATCATTTTTGCCTTGCCCATTATTTTTTTCCTGTCACTTCCCTCAGCTCTGCTGCTCTTTCACATGGCTGGCTGGATGCTCAGTTCACTGTTCTCTGTTTTGTTTTCTTTTTTCTTTTTTTTTTGAGACGGAGTCTCACTCTGTTGCCCAGGCTGGAGTGTAGTGGCGCAATCTTGGCTCACTGCACCTCCCGGGTTCAAGCAATTCTCTGCCTCAGCCTCCTGAGTAGCTGGGACTATAGGCGCCCGCCACCATGCCCGGCTAATTTTTGCACTTTTAGTAGAGATGGGGTTTCACCGTCTTGGCCAGGTTGGTCTTGAACTCCTGACCTTGTGATCCACCCACCTCAGCCTCCCAAAGTGCTGGGATTACAGGTGTGAGCCACCGTGCCCAGCCTGTTTTATTAACACATGCCATTATGTCTATAATTCCTTAGACTTTGAAATCTATACCATATAGTTTATGTAAAGTTTTTATTATCATTCAAGTCAATATATTTTCTAGTTTCTATTTTGTGTTTATCTTTGACCATGAGTTACAGAGTAATATGTTATTTTTAATTTCTAAATGTTTGTGTTGAATTTTTTTTACCGATTTTACTCAACTGTTATCAGGAAATAAGGTCTGAACACCCATTCTTTGGCATTTGTTAATATTTGTTTTGAGGCATACTATATAATTTTTTTAAAATTCCATGTGTTTAAAAAAATACATATTCTGGAACTACTTGCTTCAAGGATCTGTATATGACCTTCAAATCAATCATACTATGTTGCTGTTCTAGTCTTTTATGGTTTACTGATTTTTTTTTTTTTTTGAGACAGTTTTCACTCGTTTCCCAGGCTGGGGTGCAATGGCACAATCTTGGCTCACTGCAGCCTCTGCCTCCCGGGTTCAAGCAATTCTCCTGCTTCAGCCTCCCAAGTAGCTGGGATTACAGGCGCCCGCCACAACGCCCGGCTAATTTTTGTATTTTTAGTAGAGACGGGGTTTCACCATGTTGGCCAAGCTGGTCTTGAACTCCCGACCTCAAGTGATCCACCCACCCTGGCCTCCCAAAGTGTTGGGATGACAGGCGTGAGCGACTGTGACTGGCCGGTTTACTGATTTTATGTCCAGGATCTGTCAATAGCAGAGAGAGTTTTCTTAAAATCTCTCACCCCAATAGTGTATTTACATATTTCTGATTAAGCCTTGTTATAGTTTGCTTACATATCTTAAGGCTATGCTGTTAGGTGCATATGAGTTTAGAACTGTTACATATCCTCCTCATGAATTATTCCTTGCTTTATGGCTTAACGTTTAGTGTATTATTATAGTGATACTGGCAATACTTCGGTTAGAATTTGCATTATATTTCTTTTTCCATCCACTTACTTACAAATCTTCTGTACCCTTATGTATCTCTCATAAGCATTTATGGCTAGCTTTGCTATTTTATCCAATCTGAGGATTTCTTTTACTGGCAATAGGATCTACTTTGCTATGCATACCAATGTTTGTACTTATTTTGCAGTCTTTTCTCATATGATTTGCAAAGCTTTCTTCTTTTATATTTTCTTGCTTTTACCAGACTGGGTTTTGCTCTACTGGTTTCAAAGTTAAACAATCTATTCCTATTTTCTTAGCAGTTACCCATAAAATGCAAACTTGACCAATCATAGCAAAAAAAAAAAGAAAAAAAAAATCAGTAAAAAATGCTGACTTCAGAACACATGGCATGAACTGTCACCCTGCCCTTCAGTTGGCACTGGCTGGGGTTCCAGCTCCATCTTAAACTCAATCAGCACTGTCAGGGCTGTCTTGAGCGGCGCTGGTGTGGACTTTCCACACACCCGACACCTCCTGGGCTCCCCACTCCCTTCTGCCTCCCATCACCTCCTTCGCAGTTCAGTGTGCTCTTCCCTGCAGCAAGCGCATCATTAACTATTTCCGTAGATTCCACGGGCAGCAGGTCCCCCGGCTCTGCCTCATGCGGCCCATCTCCCTTTTTAAAGGACAGTACTTTGCTGGATGTGGCCACTCAGGCTAAAAGGGCCACTTCCTTCTTTGCATTGAGAACCTACCCCCAGCCTGTGGGTAAGTCGAATGGCGGTTCCTTTGTAGGGAGCCATGTTTTCTCTCTAGTAGCTCTGAGGAGATTCACCCTGGGCTTGGTGCTCTGCGGTCTCCATTGTACTGGCCTAGCTATGGATCAACGTGTCATTCATCTTGCTTTGAATCTGTATTTCTAAAATCTGAGAATTTATGTTTTTCTTTAATTGTACAGAATTCTCAGTTATTTCTTTGAATACTATCTTGGCCTGATTCTATTTTCTCATTGATGTCATTTATTTGACATACGCTGCTGCTTCTCAGCCTCAGTGTTTCCTACCTCTTTGCTGACATTTTCCGTACCTTTAACTCCTCTGCTTGCTTGGAATAATTAAGATTAAACTGCCCTATTTCAAGTGTTATAAGCAGACACACAAATGTGCACAAACACCAACATTCCACCACACATCAATAAGCCGTTCTAGAAGCAACATACAAAACATGAATACAGAAAATGTCTGGGCTGTCCACTACACAGTCAACTTTTGCATCCAGAGGGAAAGGCTGCTGAGTGGAATCTCCTCAAATCAATTCCAGACAAAATCAAACCTGGTTCAGAGTCTGAGTTTTCCCTTGGAACGTCATCGTAAATTGCTTCTTCTGGATCTGGAATAAACAGGGAGAAACACTTTAAACAGTGACCAGCATAAAACTCGTGCAATTTAAAATTCTACAGGCCACAGTCGCTGACGATGTCATGATTATTCAAAAAGTTGGCTTATAAGGGTAGTGTTTTTGTTAATTTATTTTTTACTTATTTGTTCTTTGTCCTAACCAGTAGACAGCGAGGACTGTAAGGTAGCTAACAGCACCTTACCAAAGCATAAGCATTATTTTTAGGGCAGAATAATTTGTTGGGAATGAAGGATGTCTGTTTAAACGGACCAGCTGTAAAATGTCACTAGGAAGGAGATTTATGGTTTCCAGGCCAATCTTATTCTATGATTGTGTGTTCAATTACACATTTCTATGTGGCTCTCTTACAAGCATTTCAAGCTTATGAAGTTAATGTTCTGATGCACAAAAAAATACAACATTGGTCCATGGAATTCCAGAAACAAGGAAAGAGCCCCTCAGTGCTGGATAAACCGGAAAACCATCCAAACAAACCAACGACACCATGATTTTGTGCCACTGAAGGTAAAAAGTAGTAGCAAGTATCAAAATGCTAAACATATAGGACAGTGTTTCTCCATCTGTATCATATGCAACACTGGGGTTCTGTGAAAGTGAAACCGTTTCATAAAAAAGAAGGGAAGTTCTAGAAGCAAAACCACACTGTACGAGATGACCACAAAGGACACCGACAATGAGCCTGAGGTTTACTCAAGTATCTGTAAGAGTTACACACTTCACATGAAAATCCGTTTCATAAAAAGACCTTTAAATCGAGGTTCCACTCATTGATTACCGGTGCTCTCCCTGCAAGAGAACGTCCAAACTACGACGTATGACTGTGTCGAAAACATACAGGCAAACGCTTCCTAAGCCACATAAGAAAGAAAATGAGAACAAACCCAAACTCTCCCTTGACATCCAGCCACCGCTCCTGTCCCCACGTTAGCGGGAAATAAACATTCAGGAAAATTCCTTATCTGCTGCTGTTGTCAAGCTCCAGTATTACAGATGCTCTTTCTTTTAATAGCATTTACTATCTGCAACCACAGTAAAGATTTCTACTCCTCTTAGATAATGTTCAGGGACTGCTAGTTTAGAGATCATATTTCCAAATATAGTTATTCTAATTCACTGTCATCTGGACAATAAAAATGAGTAATGAGAAAAAAATCATTTTACTTCGGAAATAAAACTGTTAGCAAACAGCCAAGACAATAATTTAATCTTGTAATGATCCTACTTTAACAGCGATCCCCTGCTCACCTTAATCCACTTAGCGGCGGCTCAAAGTCAGAATGAAAACCTCTACAAAAAAAAAATAGCCGGTTTCGTATCAGCAGCTATCGGACCTAGTGGGAATGCATCCTAATTACACTAAGATCTTTGTTTTAACAAAGTCATAATTAAAACCAGAATGAAAACTTCCAGGAGACAGTTTAATAATCAGGAGATAACTAAGATGGTTCTACCTTGTAAGCTGATCATATAAAACAGTTACATAGAAATTAGTGAGCCAGGCCGGGCGCGGTGGCTCAAGCCTGTAATCCCAGCACTTTGGGAGGCCGAGACGGGTGGATCACGAGGTCAGGAGATCGAGACCATCCTGGCTAACACGGTGAAACCCCATCTCTACTAAAAAAAAATACAAAAAAATTAGCCGGGCGAGGTGGCGGGCGCCTGTAGTCCCAGCTACTCCGGAGGCTGAGGCAGGAGAATGGCATGAACCCGGGAGGCGGAGCTTGCAGTGAGCCGAGATCACGCCACTGCACTCCAGCCTGGGCAACAGAGTGAGACTCCGTCTCAAAAAAAAAAAAACAAACAAAAAAAAGAAATTAGTGAGCCAGGCCGGGCGCGGTGGCTCAAGCCTGTAATCCCAGCATTTTGGGAGGCCGAGACGGGCGGATCACGAGGTCAGGAGTTCGAGACCATCCTGGCTAACACGGTGAAACCCCGTCTCTACTAAAAAATACAAAAAACTAGCCGGGCGAGGTGGCGGGCGCCTGTAGTCCCGGCTACTCGGGAGGCTGAGGCAGGAGAATGGCGTAAAAACCCGGGAGGCAGAGCTTGCAGTGAGCTGAGATCCGGCCACTGCACTCCAGCCTGGGCGACACAGCGAGACTCCGTCTCAAAAAAAAAAAAAAAAAAAGAAATTAGTGAGCCAGTGGATAATGAGAGGCATAATCAGGAAAGTAATCTTTACTTTTCCTTTAAAAATTAAAAAAACAAGTAAATCTAGCTAAAAATCTTTCAGCCTTTGAAGCTGCAGGTGGGACTGCAGATCTGGCCACTTGGAAGTGGGCTGGCTCAGCCAACCTAAAGGGAGAAAGAATGCCTTTGGGTTTGCTCTTAATTGTACAGAAGCTTGAGTCGTATGTTGGAAGTGCACTTGCTTTAATCCACACACAGACGGTACATAATCCTACAGGTTTAAACATACATAAAAGTAGAGTTTGGAATTCTTTGCTCTACTGTTTGCACTGCAGATTGCTACCATTTCAAGGGTGAGATTGTAAATAAAATGATGCACTTCTGGACGTTTCCTGTTTTTGAAATCTACACATGAATCATTCACATGACCAAAAATTGTGTTTTTCTCAAAATACATGTCTAGTCTGTCCTTTAAGTAATAGTTCTCTTAAATAAGCTATGATATTAATCAGATCATTACCAGTTAGCTTTTCAAGCACATTTGCTTCAGGCTATTGTTTTGGAAAAATACGCTACAGAACTTTTTTTAAGTTACAAATAAATGAGAATCTGTTGTTTGGAATCTGCTGTTTCTGCCAAAGGTAAATTAACAAAAGATTTACTCGGGAATTCCCATTTAAATTTATATGATTTGATAAAACACCAAGTTATGTAAAATAAAGTGTGTATATGGAAAAAAAAAAAAGGGAGGTCCCCCCGCCCCCTCTTCAAAGCGGGTGCCAGACACCGCATCTCCCTGGGAATCACTGCCACGCGCAGGGTAAGCGTCTGGGTGGCGGCCGACCGCACCGCATCTCCCTGGGAATCACTGCCCAGCACAGGGTAAGCGTCTGGGTGGCGGCCGACCGCAGCTGCAGGTCAGAGTTTCAGTTCCCCACACACCTCACTGTTACCACAATAACAAAGCCTGTGCTAGAAAGAAACGACCAGGAAGAGCGAGGGTGTGGACGTGGAGAGCTGGGGTGGCCTCGCGGGAAGTGACAACTTCAGGGAACCCGGGAACCTTCTGCATAGTCAGCCCGTGTTACTATTTTCAGTAAATAAATATCTTGTTAGTGTTTTAGATCTGATGGGACCTGAGACTCAGGGACCCGGCCCCGCCGCAGTGGCGTCTGTGGAGCGTGGTGAGGATTCTGGCTGTGGGCGGCTGGGGACTTACTCTCCATCCAGGCTGTGTTGGCCGGGTCTGCGGCCCAGCGAGCCAGGGCGCTGTCCTCTCGACTGACTTGATCTTCACTTAAAGAAAACAAACCATAAAGTCAGAATATTCAGGCACAGCCCAGTCACATGGCTGCCAACTGCCCTGCAGAGTGTGTGCGTGTGTGTATACATATATATATGTATATATAGTACTATTACTATACAGGGAATCACATATTTTCCAAGCTAATATTATAGGACATCCCAAGTTCAAGTTTTCACTCATAACTCTGTAAATAAGTATTCCAGATGTTCCACCTACGCACAGCACAGAACACGGGGCGAGGGCAATACAGCAGCAATACAGTCCTTGCCCTAGAAGGCCTGAACTGTCTTCTGGTTTTTCAGCCACCCCTTTGAGGGCCTCTTAGGCCCTTCTCACGACGCTGGGTGGTAGAGATGCCAGTGGGCAACGCAACGGGCCGTCTCCATGTCCAGGGGCAGGTCGGTGGGAGAAAGAGATGCAAGGCCACTCGGCATAAACTGTGGTACTCTGCCCACAGCAGGTGGTCACATGGGCCACCAGAGTCCTGCACACACAGGGACTGGGATGTCGCCCTTGGCAATGGGAAGCTGCGGGAATGCTCTGCCCGGAAGGATGGTGAGGTCAGACTCGACACACACACCGAGCGTTGCCCCAGGAGAGGCACCACTGCTGACGACGAAACGCAGCAGGGATCAGGCCTCTGGACACCGCGTCCCATGGGGAGTGGTGCAAGGATGAGCCCAGTGGCAGCGCAGAGACACTGCTGGGAAGGCAGAGACCGGAAGCAGGGTGAGCACCCAGAGGTGTGTCCTAGGGTGATGGCCCCGTGGGTGCTGGGGGTCCTGACCCTACATTTCCAGGGAACACTCGCCTGGGAGGGACCTGAGGCACGAGATGGGGCTGGGACAGCCCCTGCCGCGCAGAGCTGAGGATGGCGGGCAGGGATGCGCACTAGGATCCCCGCGTCCAGATCCTCAGGAAAAAGGCGGGAATTCAGCAGGTGCGGGAAGATGGAGGCAGGTACCTGTTTGGAGGCTCCTCGGAACTCAGAGAATTGGGCTGGCGATCTTCCATGACTTCCGGTGTTTCTGCTGGGAAAGAAAATAAGTGATGCTGCTGTACGCGCCACAGAAATGCTTACGAAGTTGGTGTTTTTACCCTTGAAAATGATTTCACGCTTTCCCTTCTTATCAATGGGAGGCTTATCTTAGCATAACGATGATTAACTAATAAATTTAAAATATTTTAGCTCTTAGATAAACTGCACCGGCACCCAGATGCATCAGGCTAGAGCTAGGAAGAAACGGGATGTTCTCTCCCATTCCACATGTCCACAGGAGCCATGATTGTGACTGGCCTGAAGGGGCATCCACCTGGCACACTCAAAAGATGTTCAAGAGAGGAGTAGTTACGCTTGTGACATGTGACACCAACTTTCACTCACACACACTCACATCCCTCCACCCACAAACACACGCACGGTGAGACCCGACTGGCGATTCCTTCCTGCCCGTCTGTGGCTCTCCAGGGTGAACAGTGAGCCGTGAGCAAAGCCACAGTGCGGGCTTCCCACACATTCCACGCAGGCGGGGCACGAACTTAGACGATCAAAGAACAGCCTGAGACACCAGTGCAGAAGGAGCAGCCCCTCCCACCTCGGAGGGCTCTTGGGCAGGAGCCAGCCAGAGTCTGTGATGGCTGCACCGCGTGCGGGCTGTGTGGTCCCCTGAGGAATCTGCCACTGCCCAGCCGCGTGGCACCAAGAATGACGTGAGGAAGGAGAGCCAGCAGCACCCGACGGCTGCTGTTTATCCCCACGCTACCATCTGTCCATGAAACACCTTCTAAAGGGAATTTATCTCTGGAGTGAGTAACAGTTCTCAACCGTTTTCAAACAGCAGCAGTTGGCTCAAAGTCCGAGAGAGCTAAGCTCAATGTAACCTGCTTGGAGATCTCATCCATGAAAACAGGCCCCTGGTCACACCAGGTGCCGCCACACAGCTGGACGCTGAATAACAACAGACATGGGACGCCGGGAGGGCTGGGGGCGTGGATCTGTGGGCAGCGCTGCGAATCCCACAGGCATCTGCTGGTTCAGTGTTCCGGGTCACCTTCCTGAGGGGCAGGTGTCAGGGCAGAGGCAGGATCTGAAATCCAATCTGCCCACTCCCAAAACTGCCCTTCCTGTGCTACTACACTGCCTCAAAGAAACACGCAAAGAGCCACAAAGTTTTCACTAGTGTTCTGCAGAGGGACAAAGGCAGGACGTGCTGCCCGGCAGCAATCTCACTGTACGGCAAGAACTGTGTCCCCAACGGGGCGTCCAGGAGCTCAGACTCCCATCCCCAGGGCACACACGTTAGCCTTCTCAGGCATCCACCCCTGGAAACTCTTCTGTCCTCCGCCTTCCAGGAAATTAAGTTGCAAACTGAGTCTGTCAAGGTCAGAAGGAGGCAGACATGCACACCAGGGAGTCACCTGAACAGCTCCAAGCAGCAGCGCACCCAGAGGCTTCTGGCCACAAGAGGCGTAAACAGGAGCAGGACCTGTCTGCGGATGTCTTCAGGGCTGGTGTCGGTCAGCAGGAAAAATAAGGAACCTGGCCATCCCAGTTTGGCCAGCTGGGAGCTCCAGGCAGGGCTCTGCAACCTCCCACCGCGGACCGGGGAGCCTGGCTGGGCTGTACGTCCCAGGGAAGCCTGCAGAGCCAGGTGGCCGCCCGGCCCCAGGGAGGCTCTGGAGCAAGGAACTGAAAAGCCAGCAGTGCCCCCCGGGTGGCGGGAGGCGGGCTGGCACCAAATCCACGCTTTTCCACCTCTCAGGAAAGAGGTCTGCGTTCACATCTCTCGTTCAATGATCAAAACACAACCGGACAGCCATCTGCTCCTCTACTCCGGGACTTACATAGTCTTTATTAGAACAAGGCATTATTACTGGCTCTAGGTTGACAGAACGAATATAAGCAAATTGTTTTAAATTCATGCTGAGTTACTTAAAAAACAAATTACTTTAAATGGTGTGCAATTATTTAAAATAAATAATATTTTAAAATATGAAAATCACTTTAAAATAAACGTATTTTCCTTCAGCCAAGAATGCCACACTCCGCATGCCCTCGTTTCCGGGGGGTTCTCATGCTCCGTGGTTACAGAGGGACAACAGCAGCGTGGATCATGCAGACCGTGGTGAGTTCCCAGGACTCCGGCCGACTTCAACAGGGAAACGCATGGGAGGCCGTCTATCCTGAAACCTCTGCAATTCCCAAAATCCAAAATCGAGATTTTTCTTTAAGGATTTTTTTTCTCAACTGTTATTAACTGGAAAGGGAAGGTTGCTTCCACTGAAACCTTTACAGGAATAAGAATCGGGTCTCAGGCATACAGGCTGTGGGCTTCCATTAGAGGCACAACCCACGAACCCTGGGGATCCTGCAATGCGTTCCTGGGAAAGGCAGCACAGAAACAGAGCTGGGCAAAAAAGGAAACCTTTGGCCGAGACGCCTCGACTGGGTCACTCCTGAAGACGGAGGCACGGTATGTGCTTACCCTTGCCCTGGCGCCTGGGCCTACAGCGGGGCCGGCAGGAGGCCCCAGCCCTTGGGCTGCAGTCGGAGCAGCCGTGGCCTACACGCTGTCCTTCCAGTGGAAACCTGGGGCTCTGCAGACACAGCTGGCGCCCGGCTACACATGCCAGGGCCATGTAAGGACAGCAGAGAACGGGCTCCACCAACCAAGCCCCTTCTAAAGCACACAGTGGCTCCTTCTCACTAAGTGGAGGAGAAAGCAGACTCAAAACAGAGCTGTCAGCACTGAGGACACGGAGACTGGAGGTGAGTGAGGCGCTGAAGGCACCCACAGTCCTGGCTCGGAGCGTGGCCTGGCTGCGGGAACACCGTCCTCAGCGGCCGACTCTGCGCCCTTTGTGCTGCCCCAGGTGGCTCTGACCTTGCACCGAGGACTCTGCCAAGGTCCTGCGGCATCTCCCCAGCGAGGAAAAGCATGGGTGGGAGACAGGGAGCCCCTGAGGCCATTCTTCCACCCCACTGCCCTCCATCCTCTGGAATGAAGACAGGGAGACACGCTCTGACCCCAGGGAGCCCGAGTCTCTAGACCAGCAGGCGACACGGGACATACATAACGGTAACTGTCATCTAGCACAGTGAGTCACATAGGCCAAAAGCTGCACACACTCCCGTGAGCACCTGGTGGGGGAACCAGCAATCGGGGTGAAGTTCAAGGCACCCCAGACATGAGGAGGCAACACATTCGGGACCAGACGTTGTTTCAAAATTTTCCCAACAATACGCCCTGGCCTTCCCTCAGGGGTGCTCCCGTCACTGAGGAAGAGGAACGGGGGGCTCACTTTCCAACTCCATAAACAAACGTCTAATGACCTGGGCGGGGGCAGGGGGAGGTCAGGCCCCGACTCTACGGAACCACAGGCCACATCGGGGGCGTGGAGAGGAGGGAACCACAGGCCACGTCAGGGGCGTGGAGAGGAGGAGGGGGGAAGGTCAGGCCCTAACTCTACGGAACCACAGGCCACGTCGGGGGCGTGGAGAGGAGGAGGCGGAAGGTCAGGCCCAGACTCTACAGAACCACAGGCCACGTCGAGGGCGTGGAGAGGAGGCGGAAGGTCAGGCCCAGACTCTACGGAACCACAGGCCACGTTGGGGGCGTGGAGAGGAAGGAACCACAGGCCACGTTGGGGGTGTGGAGAGGAGGGCAGCAGTACCTTCTTCGTCCAGGGACGTGGCGCGGATGATGACTGGGCTGGAGTAGGCGGGCAGCAGGAGGGGCAGGTTGGAGGGCACCGCATAGCCGCAGGGCACAGGCACTGAGTACCCGCAGGGCACATGGAGACCCACACTCTCCTCCTCAGTGCTGGGCGCAGGGGCGGGCGGCTGGTCCTCCTGGAATGGCGCGATGTCGATGACAGAATATGGGTTGACTTTCACTGGGAGCAGCAGCTTAGCAGGCTCCACCACTGGCGTGGCTTTTGCTCCAGCTCCATCCTCACCTCCTGGGGATGCAGAAAGGACCTGTCAGCAGATACATCACCAAGGGCATGGCAAGCGTGCCCTCTTGGAGTACAGGCGGGAAGCAGGTATGAGTTCCACCCTCCATGCCATGCCAGGACCCCTGGACGTTCCCAGGTCATTGGGTGGGCCTCGGAGGGAGCACTCGCACATGGGGAACCCAGCGTCACCTCTGTGCGCAGGTGAGACAGACGCAGCCTGGTCACTACAGGAGTCTCATCCCATGAGCTAAGTCAGGGAGAAGCTGCTGGAGGTGCGCAGCCACTCCCCTCACCAACAGTCCGGTGCTACGCACAAAGAAACACCGTGCAAGCTGAGAGGCGGGTGCTGCGCCCAAAGAAACACTGGCCAACCGAGAGAAGAAACGCTGTGCAAACTGAGAGGCTGGCACTGCACCTGAAGAAACACCGTGCGAGCCGAGAGGCGGGTGCCACACACGAAGAAACACTGTGCAGGGTCTCCCACCGCAGCCTGCCCTGAGCAGTCCTTCTGGTCAGCGAATGAAAGCACCCAACCCACCTCCAGACTTAGAAAGAGAAACCTCTACAGCTACTTCATCCCACACGTTCTGAATACTTCATTTAATCTAGTGATACAATGATGAGGTCATTTTTATTGGGAAATAGCAACATCTATTCTCTGCAAAATACAAAAGTAGAATGAAAAGGCTGAAAATTATGGAAAATAGTACAAAGAGAAGAAACTTAGCCAATCTTAAATTAAGTCATTTCAGATATATCATGAAGAAATCGTAAGTCTCTGGCCCCTAGAAATCATCCCTTCCCTACAATGTTCCAATTGGGCAGTAAGAATGGGGAGAAAATGGGCGAGCCCAACAGAGCCGATGGCTGAGCACAGGTGACCCTGACGCTGGCGATCTGCGGACCTGCCTGGGAACCTGCCAGGGGGTTCACCTGGGGACCCTCCTGGAAACTCACCTGTGGGTGCAGGGGCTTCACTGGCTCCAGCACCTCCTGTCTCAGGGGCTGAGGGGGCCTGTCTGTCCGCTTCTGGGATTTCATCTCCACTGTCAAAATCAAACTGTTCTCCCTCTTCCTCTTCATTGTTATTGGTATCATATTTCATTTCATTTTCTAAAGAGAAAAACCAAAACCAGATCAAGGAGGTTAGATAGATAGATAGATAGACAGATAGATAGATCGATAGATAGATAGATAGACAGATAGATAGATCTATGCTAGTCAGAGACGTTGACTAAGTTCCTCGATGCTGTACTGCACTTGTAGTTAGCCTTTTTAAGGGGCAAAATATGTATCATTAGAATTCTGAGTCACTGGTTTTTATTTTCTTTTAATAGGATCTACAATTCACAGTTAGAAAAGAAAACAAGAGGCGGGGCGCGGTAGCTCACACCTGTAATCCCAGCACTTTGGGAGGCCGAGGTGGGAGGATCACAAGGTCAGGAGTTTGATACCAGCCTGGCCTACATGGCGAAAGCCCATCTCTACTAAAAATACACAAATTAGCTGGGCGTGTTGGCAAGCGCCTGTAATCCCAGCTTCTCAGGAGGCTGGGGCAGGAGAATCTCGTGAACCCAAGAGGAGGAGGTTGCAGTGAGCCAAGATTGCGCCACTGCACTCCAGCCTGGGTGACACAGCAAAACATTGTCTCAAAAAAAAAAAAAGAAAGAAAAAAAAGAAAAAAAGAAAAGAAAAGAAAACAAGAGAAAGTAAGGGGGAAAAGAGCCTTTCCATTTTAAATTTATGCCCCCAGCAGATGAACATCACCTGGCTGGGCTGATGGTTCTGAAGAGAATTCAGTGTCATCCATTTTACTTTTAGAAATAACTTCTGACACCCAATGTCTCTCCCTAGAATTCTTCTCCTTTTACTTTCATTTTGCCTCTTTTATTTACAATTTTTAATTAAATATCTCTAATCGTTAGAAAATCGGTGTCAAATATGAACATCGATACATAGCTTAAAACACAAACTTCCAAAATTATTAAAGAGCATGGTTAATAACCGTTCCAAGCAGGTGCTTGATAAGAAATGTTTTGCAGGAGGTGAGTCACAGGTCTCCTTGGGCTGGGGTTATGGCTGGTGGTGCAGCCTGCAGGGTGGCTGCCGTGTGCACCATCTGCAGAGACAGCATGCTGGGACTACGCATCACCATCAGAGCAGACAGGTGCTTCTCCTTTTTCCAGAGGAGACGACACCACCTCACACACCCAAAAGCAAGAGGAACCCAGCCCCTTCCAGCCTTTCCCAAGGGCCAGGATTTCTTCCCAGCACACGTTCCTGAGGAAACCTCCTGCTGCCACGTGCTGCAGTCCATAGAAGCAGGTAGCACCTCGGGACAGGGCCTGGGTCAGCCCAAACCGCACCCAGGCAGGCTGGCCCAGCTCAGCTGCAGGCAGCTCTGGAGGGGGCTGAGGAGGACCTCTGCTCGGGAGAAACCCACAGACACACGACCCACTTCCACTCCACTCAGTCTCCAGGCGCACTCTGCCGGGCCTCCCGGGGAGCTCCAATGGTCTAAAAACAACCTTTAAATTTGAGGTGTTTCATTTTCCTTTGAATCTCCTAAACTAGTCATATATTCTAAGAGCGCCTTTTGAAGGAAACAGATTTTTTAGGTCACCATGAATACACAGAGGGGCCCAGGCCCGTGACAGTGTGACTGGATCCAGCTTTTGCTGCGAGGACAGTGGGGACGAGACCCCCAGCTGACCATGACACCTGGGGGGCCCCAAGAGCTTTCCGGAACTGCTTCAAGTTCAACCAACACTCACAAGTTTTAAAAGGATGAGAATGACAAATACTGAAACTGAATCAAGAAAAAGGATTCAAAAATGTATTATTTTTAAAACACAAGCCTGATAAGAGTGTGTGTTGCTGTCCTTCCGGATGGTGAACTCCGCTCTGCCCAGATACCAAAGCCGCACCCACTTCCTAGAGGGTCAAAGACTTTTCTAAGTCTTTGGACAACACAGTAAAACCCCATCTCTTTTTTAAAAAAAAAAAAAGGTACAACAATTACCCTGGTGTGAAGGTGTGAACCTGTGGTCCCACCTACTTGGAAGGCTGAGGTGGGAGGATCACCTGAACCCAGTAGGTGGAAGTTGCAGTGAGCTGAGATTGCGCCACCGTCCTGCGGCCTGGGGGACAGAGTGACACGGTGTCCCCGCCCCAACAAAAGTTTCTGTTTTGACCTAGCAACGTAACAGGCCACTGCAGGGCACATGTTCAGATTCATCCGGACGGTGACACAATCACATTAGATTTTTATTTTGTCAACTCTCTTTTTTGGAAATTATATTTTACTGCCGCTGAACTCTAACAATTAGATAAAATATACCTGGACATGATTCTATAAATATCGTTTTTTAAAAAAGCTTGACAATGTCTGGTACAAAATAGGCTCTTAAATATCTGCAAGGGGAGAAACACGAGCTGTTGGGACCGGAACCCACACTGTACCCCATACAGGAAGAAGGAATTATCTTTAAAGTCTTCAGGAAGGAAGGCAGTGAATAGGAGCCCGTGTGTGCAGGAAACGGCCCTGAGGAGACACCAAGGCCCCTCCACTCCTTCCCCATACGCCACCTCCTAGGCCGTGACACCAGCCCCGGGAGACCTGTGGGATTACCCGGGACAGTGCAGGTCCCGTGTGCCAGGTACAGGTATGACCCTGAGAAGAACCAGATGTGTTCTCGGAGGTGGCACCTCTGCTCACCGCCCAGCACGGCGCAGTTTGAAACCTGGCAGGCGGCAGCGCGCAACACGCTTGTCATGTGAGCGAATGAATGAGAGAATGACGAGCAGATGAGCAAGTTTCAAACTTTTTTTTTTTGCCAAAAGAACTCACTCTTTCCCCTAGTAAAACTTTAGGTGGAAATTCCACTACACCAGGGAAATCAAGACTTTCCTCCAAACGTTTAAATCTTGGTAGTTTAGACTTGGAGAGCCTTGGAAGGGGCTTGGGGCCTGGAATTCAAGAGCTCTCTGCTGTCACCACAAGACTGGCGGACGTGGCGGAGCCGCCCCCCGTCCTCTGCACGCACTGGCGGACGTGGCGGAGCCGCCCCCCGTCCTCTGCACGCACTGGCGGACGTGGCGGAGCCGCCCCCCGTCCTCTGCACGCACTGGCGGACGTGGCGGAGCCGCCCCCCGTCCTCTGCACGCACTGGCGGACGTGGCGGAGCTGCCCTCTGTCCTCTGCACACACTGGCGGGGAGGACTTTCAAGTTGTATCGACTCTCCGGAATGATGTGTTACAAATTCCTCCCAGAATTCATTTCCAGCAAGAAAAAACACAGCCTTCCTACAAGAACTCAAAGAGGGAAGTTGTGCTCAATGTAAACACCTGAGGCTGCACTCCTGGCTGCGTTGGTACCCACAGCTGTGCCCGCGGCAGGGGCCCAGGACGGAGGGCGAGGCCGCCCGGAGCAGGGCTGCTCCTCCCTGATACCCACCCACCTCCAAAGGGGCTTCCATCGATGGTGAGGCTGCGCCGCCCTCTGAGGTGAGCGTGGGGCCGGGCGTTCAAGGCGGTGTGTGCTGAGTATGTCCATCTGAGACACTCCCCGGGCCTCTGGGGGATCCTGGGCCTCACAGACCCCACCCGAGCTCCCCAAGTTCCTTCGTGAAGGGCAATGCAGAATGCCTTTAAAATCCCAGCATTTGGGGTCCTACGTTTAGCTCTGACCCGAACCCTGAC